CAGCTGCCTTCAAACGGCCAAGACCACAAGCAGAGGACAGAAGGAAGATGTTCAAGGGTGGCCGTGTGGTGAAAAACGGAAGCTTCCAGAGGAAAGCACTGAAGGGCGAGCCCGTACAAGAAGGAGGATCAACCAAGCTACGGTCTGCAGCACCTTTAAAGACTGGGCCCAGAAAAGGATGTCTGAATATTACAAAGATAAGTAAAAATTTTATGTTACTTTACAAAACTTAAGTTAATCTTTCATTCTTACTGCAAGTGGCAGATTTCAAGAAGTTTTACCTCATGCGAGGTCTACCTTTATCGCCAAAAGGGCGAGAAATGAGTTGTGACCGATTTTCTTATTATGTTTTTCAATTACTCGCGCGTGTAAAACTAAAAGTTGATGTATAATAGCGTTGTATAAAGACTTAAATATTGTAAAAAGTTATTGTATAAATTTTATTTAAAAAACATTCTAACAAGAAAGAAGTTTTAGTCTGAAAGACTTTTTGAAATGTAGTATTATTTCAATGTAGAAAGAATTGGCACTTGCTTTGAAAAGAATAGAAGTTAACAATGTACTACTATATATGTTTTCAAATGTGTAAAATTAACGGCATCTTGATATGTTCTTGTATACATGTGAACTGTTATTTTGAATGTTTAGAAATAACGTGATATGGTAAAAGTGAAAGTAATGTTAAAAAATTTTGTTATTCGTGTGACTGTAAAGATTAAATCATGGTGAATATGTGTTAAAGGTTGAATGATGTAGTTAGGCTCTCTGACGCTACACTTTAGAGTTAGCCACTTTCAGAATAGTACCTCAGGGTCTAGAGTTGAAATTAGGGTGTGTTAAGAGGTCTCGTATGTTGAATTTTAACACGTTAGTGTTTTGATTGTAGGAGGAAGTGTTGGAACACATAGACAGAAACACATTCGTGTTTGGTGTTTTTACAACACATGTCAGAGAGCACGGGGAGAGATAATTAAAATAGTCATGAATGAAATAAGAATGTTAAGAAAAGTATATTCTATATGTTATTTGCAATGTCATTCTGTAACATTTCATTAAACTAGTTTTCCTTCCAGATCTCTGGAAGGAACCGGAATTGAATAAAGCTCCTGTTTTTGATGCAGTACAGATGAAAAAGAAAAAGATTGTTGTATATTCCGGGAGCTGCTATTGTAACAAATTTCTTTCTTTAAATTTTCTAGTTTCTAGCTAAGTTATGATTGTAAAAGTTTGGCCTCGCGTTAGTTTCTAGAGCTAAAAGTTTTCAACAAGGTCGTTTTAGACCTCAGTTTCAAACTAATTAACTCTGGCGGGAAGTATGTAAGGATCTTAAGGTTTACTAACGTTTATTTATTTTAAATCTTTACTATCACTTCTTTTTCTACTTCCGGCCAGAATTATAAGCGTGAAGGAGTTTATGCAAAATTGTCTGGCGAACGCCAAGTATTTAAGTGTGGCCTTTTTGCCAAGCAGAAGAGAGGAAGCCGTGAGTTCGAAAGCAGGCGCTTACCTTAGAAGTTTGCTATTTGCCTTCCAGGCCAGAGGTTTTAATCCTCTTGATAAATTAAACGTATGTAGTGTTCACAGTCTCTGTGTACATACGCTTTCTGTTATTATTAAGGCCAATCTAAAGTTAAATTAGAGTTTAGTTTTATTTTATCTTTTTAGTTAGACCCCGAGTGGAGGGTCATTGTATTCCGAAGTACGGAAGTTCATTGTATATAAAAAAAAATAAAGGGTTTTGTATACCCTTCGTCTGTATCCTGTCTACTTACTACAATTAGTGAACATAGCTTTAGTAAGCTCTCTGTTCTAGTCAGGTCATTGTATGTTTCCGAAGAAGGTTAGAAGAAACATAGAACCTGATAATACTATTATACGAAAATTAGGGAGGAAAAAAATCCTGTGTAGTTCCAACTTCCTGCATAATTTTTATCTATCCAGTACGTAAAAAGTTAAACCGATTGTTAAACAAAAACCTTTACTATTAACAGAAAGAATAGAATAATCCAATATGTGTGTTTGTATGTATGTTATGTTGTACTTTTGTCATAGAGAAATATAGATAAAAAAATCCGGAGAAATAAAATTGTAAGAAAATGCATTATTGCATCGTATGCTCCCATACAAGTTTCGATTATTAATCATCATCTTTAATACATGTTCTGTGAATTACAATACACAGCGAATGGGTATACTGCACATTAAAAATGAAAATCTTTATAATAAATTAAATGTTCCAATAGTTTCCAAATATATTTATAATAAATTTTTTCCAATTAATTTAATTTTATATAAATTAATTTTCCAAATTTTTTTTTTAAATTTTCCATACGAAAAAATTTAGAAAACATATGCAATTAAATATTTTAAATAGCATTGTTTTTGTAATAGATGGAAACAGTTCCACTGTAACTAAATGTACACCTTTCACACGCATCACACACACACACACACACACACACAAAAAAAAAAAAAAAAAAAAAAAAAAAAAAAAAAAAAAGGGGGGGGGCACAGTTCTATATCTCCGTTTCCTCTGGACCGATTGTTGAAATTTAACTTACGTTATCTATGTCTCGAAAGCATGACTTAAAATGCATATTAAATTATATATAGCATTGTTCTAACATAGTTATTTTGACACAAAAATTTGACTTTGTATGAAATAGCGTGCCACTTTGTTTTTTCTTATTTCAATTCTACGACTCAAATAATGCCAAAGTGCCAAGCTATGTAAAAATTACACGAGTAGTTTTTAAAAAATTAGCTCTCGAAATTTTAGCTCTTTCATCTTAACTGAATTGGTATATATTTATTAATATCTCGTTTTTATTTGACTTATTTGTCACTTTCGAAATTTAGTTCTTCCAAATAAAATTCGGTTTTTTGATTTTTTTTATTTTTTTTAAAATAATTTTTTTTTTTTGATTTGAATTATAAGTTTTACTATTTCTTAAAGTAGATTCATTTTGACACATACTTGCAAAAAATTAGAGACTTTTATTCAAAATTTCCTAAGGCATACGTGAATTTACATACTGGTGCATTCTGAAATTTGGCATATTTGTTATAAGCGATAGTAACGCCAAATGTGGTTTACATACTTTACTACAATCATTTGAAAGTATGAACGATGACTTTTTTCCGCTCATGTACAATGTTTCTATAAATTAAAAACTTCGCCAAGTGACCTACTTTTGGCGCAAACTAAAAAAAATGCGCCAAGATAAATCTTTATATTTCTCCATAAATTTCTCACCAAAATTTCTATTAACTTAATGATCTAGTCATCAATTTGTATAAATCAAATATATATCCTAAGTCGCGCTTTCGAGACATGGAAAAGGCAAGTTAAATTTCAACAATTGTTCCAGTAGAACGGGAGATATAGAACTGCCCCCCTTTTTTGTGTGCAAGGTGTACATCGAATTTCTTGGTTATTTAAAGTTTGTCCAGATGGATAAAAAACCAACGCCGAAGCTCATGCTTCTTTATAATAATTCAATTTATTGAACTCAACAATTATTCAAACAGAAGTAATCAGCATCATATGACGTTTTTAAATTGATATTTATAAACTTCACTTTAACGTATTAGTTATGGAAAACGTGGCGGTATAATTATATAATTAAAAACCCTGTATAATTATTCTAGTTCTACATTATGTGCTACAATTACATTTTCGGTTAACCGTAATCTTGTTTATATTTCAGTCATTGCCAATGACGCAATGTGAAGCATTTAAATGTTTGTGGTCTAGCATTTTGGTAAATTTTAATATTTAAGAGATTTGTGTTTATTTTATGCTAATAAAGGAAAAAAAAGATTAGTACTTATGTTATATGCATTCATTTATCTTAACTTTTAAATAATTTTTCGCATGATATTTACAAATTACATGGTTAATTTGTTAGTACTTTAACATTCCTGTAAATCTTAAAATCGTTTTCCAATATTTATATGAAAACATCTACAAGTAATCAAAATCTTGCAAATTAAAAGAATATAATTCAAAGGAAAATTGTAATTTTAGTTTTTCGATTTTTCGCCGAAATACTCTGAACCTTTCACTTTTCAAACAGTTGCCACCAAATGTTATCGCCCTGTATTATGTTTGAAGAAATTAAATGATAAAGAATCTGCATAAATGTAGGTATGTTTCTCGCATTGTGATAAAACAACGGTACATAGAGCCATCCAGTTTTGAATGACGTAATTCTTCTGCGAATATGGGCATATGGAAGCCAAAATCTGAAATTTGGAATTTGTTTTATTTATCAATTTCATATTTTGTAAAACTTTAACGCATTTTTGTTTAACAAACTCAAGGATTTCAAAGCGAGCAATAGTAACGTTGTACAGAAAAAGCATTTTTATCTCCAGCGCGTGAGACTGTGTATCGGAAATTCTAAAGATATATGTTCAGTTTAAATTATTTTGCGATATTGCTCTTGAACTGAATGTTATGGTTTAAGTGCGAAGAACATGATATTTAATTTAATAAACAAAAGTAATACACAAAATGTTAAAAAAAAGGCCCTGGACGTAATTTTAAATCTGAAACTTCTCAGATTTTCTTTTTTTTTTTATGTATTGTTATATTTTAAAAACTACAGACTACAGACTTTTTGTTAGGTTGTTTTTGTTATGTTATATGTTACCAAAAGCATTTTAGAATTATGTACTTTGTCCTTAAATAAATTATTACTTTTTTATTAACTCCCAAGACCTGTTTCATCTTTAATGTTAATACTAGACTTAATGAATGGAGTATTCTGATATATATTACAGAAATCTGATAAAAATTGCACAATAACTATGCAAGAATATAGTTTTAGTTAGTTAAAATGCAATATAACAACATAAGTAACATAACAAAAAGTCTGTAGTAATAAATTGTAGCGAAAATAATCATCCCTTCAGCTGTATATTTATTTTATTAAATGATATAGTTCAGCGCAAAATACAACTTTCAATAAATCATCCAGGAATTTCATACTCACTCTTAATCATGGACACATCATTTGCACCATCTCCTATGGCCAAGGTAACAGCCCCCTTGTGCCTTTTGACAAGGTCAACGACAAGGGCTTTCTGCAGGGGAGTAACACGGCAGCAGATGACAGCTTTGCATTGGCACGCCACTTCCAAGAACAATAACTCCATACTTTCCTCCAGTGCATGAACCTAGAAAAAAATTATGATTTTGAAATTGAACAATTTAACATATGTTAACAGCCTGAAATAAATATTTGACACACCTGTAGAGACCAAAAATGTACGGAAAGAAGGCAGGTTTGTATGACTAAATCATTTTTCCGAATGACTGCTATATCAAAACTTCTGTTCATTGATTAATATTCAGCAAGTATTAATGACCTTATAACTCACTTTAATTTCCCTAACCAGTTACTTTAATTTCCCTAACCAATTACTTTAATTTCCCTAACCAGTTACTTAAATTTCCCTAACCAGTTACTTTAATTTCCCTAACCAGTTATTTCAAATTTTTTATCTGGACTCGTTTCATCTTCCTGCCAGAATGTAAATTTTCAGCTTGCACAATATTCAAAGTACGTAGAAAGAAGTTAGTACTTAAATGAAGATTTAGGAGGATGATATCAGAGCATATTCTGCCTGCTTTAAGACCACGTTGCTAACTTGGATTATGTAGCAACTAGGAATTCTGCAACATGGAGTTATTCTCCACGTTGCTTCATTCAGGCTTGCTAACGCCGACTTCAGTCAGGACCAGAAGTTAGTTAAACTGCGAAACCGTGAGGGTATACTTAAATTTCATTAATTTTAGTTTATCCATTAATTTTAAAACCAAACGTGTTGGCTTTTGTAACCAAGAATTGGTGCCGTCTGTTAAACTCTATTTGGATTAATAATAGGGTCATTTACACCCTTTTCCTGTCTCTGTGGTACTTAGAAAGATATAGTGAAAAGTCACAAGTTGTCTTTTTAAAGTTCTGGTCTAATTGTATGTTAGCGAAGAAGATCTGATCTCTTAATATTCGCTTTTCAAAATAATAAGAGCAAAACCAATAAAACTAATTTCTAATACCAATACCAATTATTTGACTTCTCAACCTGCACGCGAATCCATCTGAGCATGCCATGAGGGTGAGCCGTTAGAAAGAATGGCCAGTAGTAGACTTACCATACCTCAAAAGTTGCGCTGATAAGTCTTTTCAAGCTCTTTAGTTATGTCACTTATGTAGACATTTAGAAAGACTTCAGACGTAGAGGATAAGCAAACGTAAACCGCGTTTTTGTAACGCGGGCACTTAAGACTGAAAAACCATTCTTACATGATTTGAGGATTAGCAGGCTAGAAAGGGTAAACTATTGACAAAATGAGGAAATAAAGGCTGTGAAAGAACATTTCGCGATTTCATGTAAAGGATGCTGTCACTAAATAGCTATAATAAGTTATGAAAAGAGATTTTTTAATGGACAAACCAAGCTATGTCCATTGACAACCAGGGCAAATCCTCCTGTAGGGTCGACAGGCGATTCGACTGCGTTGAGATCATTGTGGAAACGGACGACGTTGCAGGATGTGTTCCCTTGACTGTGTGCAAGAACGTTAGCGATGGATTCTCGGAACCGTTGGAGCTGATTAGATACCTCAGCGTAACTTGTTGCGTCTACGATGAAAATATCCACCATCTCGTCAGATAGAAGATGACAGGAATAGCCGATGTTTATAGCGGTCTCTGAAAGTCAAAAAATAATTTTTTATACGATTTAGAAAACTGAATAACAAAGCTTTCAGTCAAGGTGATTTTAAAACGAATTTATCGCAAAGTTATTTAATAAAGTCGCAAATTAAGAAATGCTATTTCGGAATGGATTAAATCTATGATATTCAGCTGTAAAATATCCAAAATGTGGTAGTTTCTGGTAATAATTTTTGATGAATTTAAAATATAGGCTTTTTTTGTTACGAAGTACAGGATGGTTAGAAAATAACGTGAAGTATTCAGTATTCAGAGCTCTCTAGCGAGTATTGGACGAAACATTGCAAAATTTGATGGACATCCATAGTGGACCATGGGATTACGATTTCTAGAAGAGAAATAGTACCAAAAGTCGCTACCAGGAGAAATGTTGACTGTGCAAAAGTGTATTAGTGTGAATAATGGATGATTAAAAGCCAAACGAATTTTGCACACACCAATTTTGTTGGCAACAAATGATTGTTATTTGCAAATGAGGCTCAATATGACCACCATTGTGATGTTCCAAGAGCTGCATACGTTGGAGAACATTTTCCATAGTTATTGGTAACATATTGGTATTGATTTGTCTCACCTGTAACGTTATCCGATTTTTCAAAGTTGCGATATCGGGGACATGTCCTTGATTTCAAAACATTGAATCACATTTCGTAAATTTGTTATGCTCACCGGTCTTTCGCCACTTCTTTAACCGCCAAAATTCACGAATGCGACACGGGCATTCTCATTCTGCTGACAATACAGCTTGGCTAACAAAGCAAGATCTTATATAACAGTCATCGAAAGGCAGTAACCTCAGAATGATGTGCTGAAAATTCTCCCAGCCTTTCCTTTTATACTCACGATTGCTACACAGAAAGCGATTATGCAAATTAATGCATCTTATTCAGTAAACAGAGTCATATTTTTTTAAATCAAAATTCGATGGTCCTCTATGTACGCCCATCAAATTCGGTCATGTGTCGTCAAATATTTTACTAGCTAGAGGGCTCTGAATTCCTCACGCTATTTTGAAGCCACCCTGTATATCGTTTCAATAATTTTTAAAAAGTGCATAAAAAAGCTAATGCAACAAAATGTAAAATTAAGTACATGCTTTGGAAATTTTTCTCCAAAACATTCTACATAACCCAGTGTTTTTTCAAATATGAATGTCATTGGAGCTTCTTTTCTCAATATCTTAAATTTCTGACTGCTGCTTCAATTTTAGAAGGATGATAAAGACTTCATGACTTCATTAGATTGATTCATGTTGCATCGCTATGTCAATACGATGGATCAAAAGACTTCATGACTTCATTAGACTGATTCAATGTTGCATCGTTATGTCAGTGCGATGGATAAAAAGACTTCATGACTTCATTAGATTGATTCAATGTTGCATCGTTATGTCAATACGATGGATCAGATCAGAGAACATCTTTCCAAAAGTAAGGCCTCGATGGATCAGCTCAGAGAACATATTTTCAAAAGTAAGACCTCGATGGATCAGCTCAGAGAACATATTTCCAAAAGTAAGACCTCGATGGATTGTGAGTGGTATTATGTCACTGATAAGGTGGCCATCGGACATCTTGGCTTACTTATCCTGCTAATTTCTGGTTAATTTTCGAAGTCTCATTATGGTCGAATTCTTAATATTTAAACTAAGGTTTGTAAGTTAAAAGAAACAAAATAATTAACGTCAAAGGTAAGATGTGTAGCTAACGTCAAAGGTAAGATGTGTAACGTCAAAGGTAAGATGTGTAGCTAACGTCAAAGGTAAGATTTGTAGCCTTCTTTTTTCGTTACTTATGTACTTGCCTCAGATGCTTTAAGTCGGGTTTAAAAAGAATTTGATTACTGTACAGATATGTACCTGAAATTAAGAATGCACACACAAAACCTTTCTTACAGTGCTTCTGTGCAACTTAAAAGAACGTAGCACGTCATATCTTCAGCTATGTATTTTGAATATTTGCTTTCATTCTGTGGTCCATTTAAATGATAAAGAGTAAGATCGAAGTAAGTATGAGTGTATTCATCTAATAGCATATTCCCAAGGAAGAGTTTACTCTCTTTTTTACATTTGCAATTTGTTCTTAAATTATAATATGCAAAAGCTTCACAATGCAACGATGAGTTACGGTTTGATAAGCCTTTCGTCAAGGGAAAGTAATGTAACTTGAAAGTGTATGTAATACAAACAACTTATGCATGCCACTGTTTAATATAGTCCAGCGTAAATGTGATTAAAACAATATAATTTACATCGCAGATATGAAAACTATCATTTATAACGCAAAGTTGCTAACACAAAACATATTATTTTTTTTATGCTGAAATTTGTTTATGCTACAATGAACAGCTACAAAAAGAATGCTTAAATAAGCAAACGCTCCAATATAACGATACAGTTACATTTTGATAAATCCAACGTCAATTGAAAATAATGTAACTCGAAAGTGTAAGTAATACAGACAATTTATGAACATTAAAGTTTAGTCTACTCCAGCTTAGGTACGCTCAGAAAACTTACAATTATCATTTATAACGCAAAGTTATGAACACAAAGCATATCTCATATTAAAGTTTTTTATGATGAAATTTGTTTATACCAAACTTCAAAAAGAATGTTAAAACATGCAAAAGCTTTGATGTAAAAATGAAGTTAAATTTTGATAAATACATCGTCAACTGAAAATAATGTAACTCGAAAGTGTATGAAATACACATAACCTATGACTATTACAGTTTAACCTTGTTAAGAAGCCTATGACTGTTACTGTTTGCCTATCTCAAAAATATGCCCCAAAGCCTACCATTTATCATTTATAGCGTAAAAGTATTAACAAAACACAGTATGTTACAGTGAAATTTTCTTTGTAGAATGAAATTTGTTCAATATAATAGTGAAAAACTGAAGCACAAATGGTTGCATATCAGTACTCAACATCAATATACCCATGAAAGCGGAGAAGGCCTAAAGCATTTAAGGTTCAGAATATGATTTAACTCTGAAAATGAGTAATATATCTGAAAATATCAGTACTAAGCATCATCTTTATAACATGAGTTCTTGCCACAAAAGATCCAATTCGCTTGGAACTTATGGTGGTTGTCTTTTAAAAAAGTTCACACTTACATATTTTACACAAACCCATTGTATAAAATCACATATTACATTAATTGTAAATAATTAAAAATAATACGTATATAAGTTTTGTTTTGCTCAAATAAAAATAATTTCTTTTTAATGAGATTAATTTTTAAATACTATGCAGAACATATTCTACAGACAATAATTTAAAAAAAAAAGGTGCTATTCAGAAGTCATTAAACTATGAATTTCAAGATTTAATGATATGTATTAATCTGTAAGTTCTATGTTTTAATGTTTTCAATAAATAAGAAAATATGTCTTATTTTATTTAACTAATAAATAAAAGTTGTTTAATGTTTTGATGTACAGTACCAGCCGCTTATTAAAATCACTTCCGTTCCAAACATATTTCGGTTAAGCGGTTGAGCTTAATAGACGACGATTTATGTATTGCAGATTGTAATAATATCAATATAAAATTCCTCTAGTAAAATAATAACTAACAACTAGATGCAATAATTAGTCATAAAATAATTAAAAATGTTTCATAAAAATACTAGTGGTTTTTCTAATCAGCACTTTTCAATTCAAGAGGAGGTTCGAATCTTCCCCGTGCGTAACGTGTTTACAAGCCTGTTTGCCTTAGAAAGTCTGTAAGGATTCTAAGTTTTACTAATGTTTATTTTATTTTAAATCTTTACTATCACTTCTTATTTTCTACTTCCGGCCAGAATTAAAAGCTTTTGACTTATTTATGCAAATTTGTCTTGCTAACGCCAAGTACTTAAGTCGTGGCTTTTTTGCCAAGCAAAAGAGAGGAAGGAGTGATTAGAAGCAGGCCGCTTGCCATAGTAGTTTTACTCGGTTGCTGGTTGCCTTCAAGGCCAGAGGTTTAATCCTCTTGATAACTTTAAACGTATCGTAGTTTTAGCAGCTCTCTGTACTACATACGGCTTTTTGTTAATTTACGGCCAATCTTGGAGTTAGGCACTTGTTTATTGATCCAAAATTAGTTTAGTTAGAGTTTTAGTTAATATTTTTATATTCTTACGTTCAGACCACAAGTGGTTGGTCTCTGTATTCCGAAGTTCCGGAAAGCTCTGTAAAGATAGAAAATAAAGGGTTTCGTATACCCTTCCTATGTGTATTGTCTACTTCACAATTTATTGAACATAGCTTTAGTAAGCTGCCTGTTCCGAGTCAGGACAGTTAATGTTTCCAAAGCAAGTAAAGAGGAATACTAAACCTGATAAGTCTTCCACGAAGGCATCCCTGTCCTTAGACAGATAACCTTCGAGTGCTTTGCCGTAATCAAGTAAACCAAAACACTTCAAGAGTTTTTCTTACAATTTACAGTTCCTTTTTAGATTCGATTGATGTTGTTGATGATCTTCGATAATGTCTTTATGGCATGGGAGCACTCAATATGTAGTTCTCTCGCCAGGATGGTGATAGGAGAATAGGGGTAGGAAACCCTCGCACCTGTCCACCAGGGGTGTTGTCCATCAAAATTTGGGGCGGAATTGAAAGATGTCGTACTGTCACTTGTATGGTGCTCAAGGCTGTAGCCAATGACAGGGGCAATCTTTACTTGCCATGATATAAATTTTGTAGGCTTGTTCTGATATTACTGCCAGACAAGCGGGATAAGTTATAACACCACACAATAAACCATTGAGTTTAATAAGTGTATGAGTACTGCATTTAGGAAAAAATGAAAGGCAAGATCAATACGAGACTGTTGGATTCTTTCAACGTTATCTTCTGATGTTTCTCATCCATAGGCAGCTCGTGTACACAATAAAAACACATACACTTTATCTTCTTGAGTGACTCAGTTAAATAAATAAAAATTCTATCCATTTAATATAATATACACACACTTTTCAGAGACCTCGCGAAATCTTAACATTAATTCTCAGAGATTCTGCTGCATTTTAAACTCTTAACATTTATTACCTTGTTTGTCTCCAGTAAGTACCCAAAGCTTGATGTCAGCCATAGCTAGATTGGCAATAGCATCAGGCACTCCATCTTGCAGCTTGTCTTCAATGGCTGTCGCACCCAGAAGGATCAAGTTCTGTTCGATCTCTTCGTAAACGGCATTCACTTTCTCTTCTCTTTCTTCCATGGAAGTGCTGAAAGGGAAAAAAATGTTCAAACACCGAGCAAGAAAAGGCGCTTTTGTATACAAGGCAATTTAGCATTTGGCAATGAGAATGTAGTTGCTAGATAAGACTGAAATATTATATAGATTTGTGTTTATTGTTCAATAAAATTGTTTGCTTCATAAATTTATATAACGGTATTACCTTAGTTTATTGCAGCTTGATGTCCGAAACATAAGTATATTTTATATTTTTAGAATGAATCTTATGTAAAATGGCAAGATTTTCTTTGTTTAAAATCAGTGCATTTTAGTATATCTTATGTCTATTAATAAATTATATTTCAACGTAATATTTTAATAGTTGAAAATTTCCGATATATAAATAGGTACCTAAAACAAAATTATTGCTTCAGTTATTTAAAATTAAACGTTATATTTAAGGGATGTTTAGAATATTTAGAATGCATTTTATGTAAAATGGCAAGATTTTCTTTGTTTAAAATCAGTGCATTTTATTATATCTTATGTCTATTAATAAATTATATACCAACGTAATATTTTAATAGTTGAAAATTTCCGATATATAAATAATAACCTAAAAGAAAATTATTGTTTCAGTTATTTAAAATTGAACGTTATATTTAAAGGATATTTAGAATGAATCTTATGTAAAATGGCAAGATTTTCTTCGTTTAAAATCAGTGCATTTTACTATATATTATGTCTATTAATAAATTATATTCCAACGTAATATTTTAATAGTTCAAAATTTCCGATATAAAAATAAGTATCAAGAACAAAATTATTGTTTCAGTTATTTAAAATTGAACGTTATATTTAAGGGATATTCTCATTCGGAAGAAAATTAATTTCTAAAAGTTTTTTCTCACATAGAAAAGATAAACATAGAAATCTGAAATTTCATTTTAATTAAATTCTTTAACATTTTACTTTAAATATCTGATTTTTTTAAACGCGAAACCGGACTAAATCTTTAGAATGATGGCGAATAATATGCGGTTGGTGACATCTGCAACATTTGACAGAATTTGATCTAAGAAAAACAAAGCATTTTTAAATCAGAAAAATTATCCTCAACATATGAATTATGTCACTTTATTTAAAAGGAGATTTCTCTTCATTCTATATTAATTTGTAACTATCAAACATCGTAATAGGTAATCAATTCTGATGTTCAAAGCAATTAAACACATATACAGTAATTGCGCGTACAACTCTACAGAAGAGCCGCTAATAACATGAAACAGGACATACAGCACTTACAAGTAGTTCAATGAGCTATGCTGATATACCTTTAAGAAACCAATGGTCACTGTGTGATGAAGATAAAATCATTTCATACGCAGTTAAATGTCATGACCCACTAGTTGAAAAAGGCTAACATGGTACTTAAGCAACAGTGTCTCGCATTCTTGTTATAACCATTACGTGTACACAATGTTTAATCTAGGTAGCGGTGTATGCTCCACCTGCCCAAGTCTGAACCTAAAACGGGACAACTGATGAGACCGCCAGTGGTGACAGAGTAATGTCGATTGCAGCAAACAGCAATAGGACATCGGCAATAGAACGGCCTCATGGGTCCCGGGAAGGTAATTTTAATCTGGATAGATAGCGTAAGCGGCCTAGGGTAAATTATAAGTGGCCCTTACACTTATACCACGTAACCTATATTGCTACATAAAAAAGGTAATAAGGAAAAAAAAAGTGAATTTTTAGCCAATTTTTACACTGTATCGGATAAAAGTTATATAATGAATGAACTTATTTCTTTATTATCATATACAATCTATTATATCTATAATAATATATATATTGTACTAATATTGCTTAATGTCATATTGAATAACGTTTTAGTATTAGAAAGATGATTTCTTTCTTTCTTTCTTTTTTACTTCCTTGTACGAAGTAAAAAGGAAGTATTGTAATCGCGAAAAGTTTCAGGCAGCATATTTCAACGAAAATATCCATTTTGACCGCTATCGAATGCAATTTAACGATGTTTTTGCGTGATATCTGTACGTAAGGACAGAATAAAATACTCTTTTCCTTCAAAAAAAAATTATAAAACTGCTTTAAAATTAATTCTGAAGAGAATTTTTCGTGGCGTCTGTACGAACGTATGTACGTACGTATCTCGCATAACTCAAAAACGAGTAGCCTCAGAACGTTGAAATTTTGTATATAGGACTGCTATAACATGTAGATGTGCACCTCGTATTTTGGTTGCAATCGGCCGCACCAAACGTATATAAATATATTTATATATATATCCACTCTGTTACCCGGCTCAGTGATCTCAGTTTCTTTACTCTTATATGTTTGTAAATTGTACATTTTTGCTTTAAAAATGATTGAATTATGTTGTTTTTATCTTCCGGTTAAGGATTTTATGCCTTTAGTAAATCTGTGTGCAATATTTTTAGAATTATCAGCAATTTTAAAGTTGTTTAATTGCCGCTAAGCCTGTTTTAATGGCGGCCATTGATGTTTACATTTGAAACAGGAGACTAGTGGATTTGTTGCCAATCTAGAGAAACTTAGCTTCGCAACAACAAAGATAACGCATTCATTTATTATTGCCAATTAAATCATGCTTAATCTTTCTGGAATTTTTTCGAGGAAATAAGTGTTTAAGATTTACTTCGTAATTTTTAATATAGATATTTTGAGTTTTTATGTATTTTTGCCTTCTCGCGAAGTGAGAACTGAATTAATTAAATGAGAAATACTCAATCGTCTGTGAAAAACTGTTTCTTTTTTTTGTTTGCTTAATTTCTTTTATACATCGTTCTAGCTTTATTATAGTATTTGAATAGAACATGTGGCAACGATTAGATAATTCTTTAAATGATATAAATTTTGTGCATTCTGAGTTATAATATGAACGAAATATAATACTGTTAAGTAAACCTAGCGCCAGAGTGTCGCTATGGTAAACAAAAGTGAATTTTAAAGAATGCATTTATTCTATTGTGGTTTATGCGCTGTCGGCGAAGTAGGTTTAATTCAATCCAAAGTTTAAATGAAATGCAAGAAAAATGCGTATAATTTAATATTCCGTACAAGGAAGTCATGTGGTGTACACATCAGATTTTTTTTTTAAATCATAGTCATTGGAAGAAATGAGGGGGGGGATACTTAGCATTATTTCTTTCATCTACAATTGTAAAACACAGAGTAGACCGCAGCACATATTTAAAATCAAAATATAAAACTTTAAAATCAATTAATGTACTGATTAAATTAGTATGTCAAGCATTTTAAGTGTAATATAATTCCCAGCATTTTAAAAGTGAAAGTGGAAAATAAAGTGCTGTGCTGTTTAAATTAAGTATAATTTACCGTTGCAATTATCTTTTTATCTTTTTTTTTATAATTTATTTGTGTTTCGAAATTCATGCTATCGACTCGTCGAAGTAAAAAAAAAGACTTGCATTAAAATGATATGAAATTATTATATTGAAAGTTGATGTATAATAAGAAACAGAAGAATAAGGATATGTAGGATATCATCTTTCACGACCGACAGATGGCGCTGCACGCCATTGGATGAAATTCTTTTGTGAAAACAGCACAGACGAGGGCCACCGAGAGGAGACATAAAAAAGGTAATCTACGACGTTATAAGGATGAAAGAACTGTTTTTTTATTTTACTTTATTGTGACAATTTTCTGTAAATATTCGTGCTCCTGTCATTTATTTTCATAGTGTGTAAAAATCGTTAATAATTTTCATTCAGTGTTCAAGTTAAAATGTCATTTGGGGACTCGTGTATCTATTTCCCTAAGGCATATAGTTCTTAACCCATATATGAAGTAAATTTGCAGATGTCAAGGCAAAATAAGAAAGTTATCCCCACAGAAATTAAGTCAAAAACATTCCTTGATTTATGAACATGATTATGAATAAAACCGCAAAACACACCATGACAGAGAGATAAGATGTGATTATTTTGTAAGAAACCTCGAAGTTGAAAGATGACACTGGAATGTGTTATCGTGCTAGTTCGTAACAAAAGTTTTTTTTTCTTTAAGGAGGTGAATGCATATAAATACGTATTGTATTTGAGATTTCAAGGTTCGTTTACTCTGTGAAATTTGATAACTTTCAATAGGATGTTATGTGAGATGACTCATCACTATAGATAATCTGATATGAATTGCAAGATAAGAAGCGAATGTTTGCAAAGAGTCGCTTCAGTTACGTGTACTTTAGTAAATACGAATTCTTCCTAGAGATAAAAACTGCTTATCAAGTGGGATTTCTTTCGTGAAATAAATAAGGGATTTATATTTTTACGAAAATTGCAAGCAATCGAAAATGAATACAAGGTGTCTGCTAATTAATTGTAGAATCTAATGCATAGAGTATGTAGTAATAGATTCTACTTAATACCGCTGACATAGTGTTATTGTTATTAGTGTTATTATAGTTTAAAACATGGATATTAAAAAGTATTAAAAGATATTCAATTGTACGCCATTAACAAAGTATCATACTTTGGAACGAAGTCCACTGTCAGCACATATTCAAATGATATCGCCTAGAATCAGTGCCTGAAATTACTATTTCAAATGGTTTCATTTAGCCCAACAACAACCGGACGGATGCCATTGAACACTGGTAGTTCGTTCCAGTGTCCGAGTTCTGGTGAATGGGCTGACTGTTTGGGTTCGTGGTTTTTCCAATATGTAACGTGAATTCGAGTCAGTTTCTCCCCCTCCCTCAAAAAAAAACTTTCATTCATGTGGCCAAGATGCGGAATGTTTTTAGGCCAACTAAGAAAAGGATTTAGTGATACGATGTCCCAGACTTTTCCCAGAAAAAAGAAGGGATTTAAATTTTCTTCTGTGTAGCAGTGTAAGAAAGGAATATTTAACTACCTCGTCCGCATATCTTCGAGCTGTTACAGAACCTCCTTGAAAGACATGCAGCTCGGTGCGACCACTTGACATGATTTCTCCCCAAACCTTTAAACCGCTGTCGGGGAAACGGGATATTTCACACACAAGGGAAGGCAAGTCCTGTTTTCCTTCCTCTCTCCGCGTGAAAACACGTCTAGAATCACTGTTCAGATTATGTCTGGACTAGTCAGCAAACAGTACTCGGCACCAGTTGTCTTGGCTCCATTGAACATGACACTAGCACTAGTGTAGAAGAGCCCCTCTGAAAGCTTGAAGAAGTGACACACAAAACCATTGGTTTTTCTCGCATACAGTTCACTTTCGTGTAGCAGTGGAACAACTAATTCGAGATTCTGTGGGAAATTGAAGGTCTAAAATCAAATCTCTTGCAGTCGCTTCGCGGTTTCTTCTGACCGACAACGTCACTTATTGCTCTTGGTTGCCCTAGACTGGGTTATTTATTAACTGCCCTAGACACTCTATCAACTTAAAAAGCGGTTCCAAACTCTTGATATGACATTTAGAGTTATGAGGTATTTCTCCCGCCTTCTTAGCCTTCGTGGTGTAGTGGCCAGCATACTCAGCGCGTAATTGAGAAATCCGTGGTTCGATTCCCAGCGAAGGCGTAGCATATTTTTCATCTTGCTTGCTTCCCCCCCCCGAAAAAAAAAAAAACTATGTCTTACAGTGGCACCGAACTAAAAGGTGTGGTGATGATTCTCCTCACCCAGGATTTAACGATTGGGTCCCTTAAAAACCCCAGTCGCCCTTTAAAAGGGAGAGTATATAAGGTATTTCTCCCGCCTTCCTAGAGAGCCTGCGTAGTGTAGTGGTCAGCATATCAGCTCGTAATTGAGAGGTCCGTGGTTCGATTCCCGGCGTTGCATATTTTTCATCTTGCCTGCTTCCAAAAAAATATCCCAATGTCTCTACAGGGTTATTCAAATTTTCAGGGACCTCCATTAGTATTTGATCTCCCGATTCTACCAATTATTCGCCACTTTTGACCTTAATTTAAATGATGCGTTTGAGCCATAACTACTTAATACTATCACTATCAGAAACCACATTCATTTTAATCAACACTGCAGACGGAATTCCAGCATTCTTAATCGTATTGAAATAACCTATATAGTACTCTAACAGAAGCATATTAATTATGTATTGTACAGTATACGGTGCGGATTATCCGTGCATGGCAGTGCTTGCCCGTGGTCTCACCTTCCAATAACTCTTGCTGAAAAAGATGATGATTTAATGACCTTTCTGGAAAGAGTTGACTGTACTGAATGCCATATACGGAGTAATAAAGTCTCGGTCGAAGGTAAACCCAACAACAATGGTTTAGTCATAGAGGAATATTCTTCCTAATATAGAATTCGGAGATTTATCTAATTGTGAAGAAGTCGAGGTAGTAAAAGTTGTATGCCAAAAAACTGAAAATGTAAAATTATTGGGAACTGTCGATCTAGAAAACAACAAAGTATGGTTCGATAGCGATTCGATAGAGACGGATATTTAGGGCTTGAGCGATGGGGATACCGTTTCGAACGTCACAATAATAGATGAGGTAATGGGTGATGCTGAAAAATAAAAGCGAAGAAGATAATGACAATTACCATTAGTACCAAGGACAGCAATGACTTCTGCTGAAGCTCTATTAGTATTTCGTCAACTACGACGATACGAATACAATAATAAAACATGTATTTGAAAAATATTCAGTGAAATTCGAAAAATATTTAAAAGTTCTCAAAAACAAAGTAAAATTACCGGTGTTTTTAAGAAATAAACACATGTAGTATTCATGGAAGTTGATAGTTTCGGTTATTCGTGTTTTTCAGTTATCCGTGACATGCTTTCCCGGCATTAATCCGAATAATAAAGAGCACACCGTATATAAAAACACAACAGAGAGGTAGTTGACACATTTTTTTTTCATTTTGATTTCAAAATATTATAATGCTCAAAGACAAAATAACAGTATTATTAATATGTAATATATACGCTGAAGATATTTTTAATACTTACGCCGCAGCATGAAATTTTTCTTTCCATCTCTCGAAACTTTCTTCATCCAATTCTTTTACAGCCAAACACAGTGTCCTCAGTCCTTCTCCGGCAAATTTCTGAAAAAAAAAAAAAAATGCATATTGGCAAGGGAATTTTTAAATAAATTACCAAACAAAGCTAATTTCATTAATCATTTCCTTTTGAAGTTAATCAGTGAAATAACTCCAATTTTCTCCGACACAGAGTTCACAGTGCTTTACAATCATCAGCAGAAATGTTTTTCTTGTGACTGGTAAAAATTTTGAAATTTAGTTTTTGAATTATAACAATATGGAAATTATTAATATAACAGACTAAACACTTAAAATAGTACTTTTTGAAAACTTTTTACATTTATTAATATTTATTCCAAATTTTTTAGAAATAATAAAAATAACATAACATATACACTAGTTATTTTGTCTCTTGTATATTTATTCAGAAGTTTTGTATGTGTTGATTACAAAATAAAAAATAATATTTGGTTTTTATGAATTCTACTTTTCTATTATTATTACGACACATTAGGCGCTTTGAAAAACATGCGGCATTTATAATTATGCAAGTGAATAGTTATTGTGCCCTTCATAGTTTATATACAGTATATTGGCAGGATTGGTTTATTTAATTATGCAGAGAACAAAGGCTGTTTGATTTAGGGCAAACTGTTCCATATAGAGTATTTGACTCACATGTCTCAAGTGGAATACAACTTATTCGTCAACTTTAGAATTCAAACCGTTTGTAGCATTATCTAGATCACATAAACGTGTCAGTACTGTGTCAGATGTAAGATGCTGTAATGTAAGCTGTAATGTAAGATGTCAGATGTAAGATGTACTGTGTAAGATGCTGTGTCAGTACTAAAGAGCATTGGCGCCTCTCATTACAAAAAAGTTGGTTTGCGAGCAAATGTTTTGAACAAAAAACGTCTCAACTAATGAACCGCGTTTCGAGTAACGAACACAATGCCAGCAACAAATGGTTTTCAGAAATGTTTGGAGGCACCTCCAGATCCAATATCAGTTCACTTTCTGAAAACATCATTTATTTAATCTCTGTTGCTTAAATATCATTCGTATCCTAAAGTCCTAGCAACTAGTTTCTCGCAGGGCCATGAATTGGGCCTGAAGGAAATTATATTGCATTCAGAGTCTTTGAAGCTTTGACATTGTGGGATTCTTTTGTTATAATTGATACTGCGGATGTAGGTAAAACATAACCTTGGATATCAGCAATAAAACACACGAAAGTAAGAAGAAAACCGCAGAAATAAACACAGCTCCAAAGAATTGGAATGCATGCTCTCAAAAGTCGCAACAAAATGCGTTAGCAGAAGTAATATTCTCAAGGGGAAAATGAAATGGAAGAGGTTAGTTCTTTGATCTTCAAAATTTGTGCAAAATGGAATTAGGTGCGACGTTTAATGGAATTATACATCCTGATAAAGAAACAGCATAAGCGTTTTCAATGGTAATTCTGTGTTTCGCTTTAGAAACATTTTGAAATCTGTTCTATAGGATTGTATAGCAACAAGTTATGTTGAACAGAAGTTCGTTGTACATGCGAGTATCCCTAAGAGGAAAAAATAAAGTTCCAGAAGCCGAAGGAAGAGATTTACCCGATGATTTTACTGAACGGGATACGCAGTCTAGACGAAAATCTCCTCTTCACCATCTTCAACCATCTTTTCGTCTAGGTGTGGCAAAACTAAATCACGTTTTCGTCTATTTAATTTTTTTAGTGATGGGTTTATGATTATTATTTATCTTAGATTTAATGATTACCATTGGTGTTTGTTAGGTTAATTATTTTGAATACGGAAAAGCAGGAAAGGCTATCTCTCTAGGGGAGGACAGGAAAGGGAAGATTTTGTGCAGGGCTTTCTATGGTAAACTAAGTAGTATTCACGTTAAACATTAGGAACATTACGTAAAAACAAATAGGCGACCAGCCTATTCACTTGGGATCAAATCAAGGTCAAATTCCCATTATTCAATGGTCTTAATCATTCGGCCATTTGCTTTGCGTTATGCTCTTACCCACAAAATATTACTATTGAAATTTAAATAAGCAATCATCTGTAATCCTGGAGCGGATTAATCAACTTCATATTAATTCCCAAGGTGAAGAGGTTTGGATTTATGAGTGTTTCAGGTAGCCAGTAGCTTTCAGGAATGAATTACAATCTCGAACCGAGGTTTCACAGTATGTCTTTTTGCGTATAAGATGTTAGATTCGCTAAGGATACGAATAACGATTACTCATATTTAACTAACGAATGCTTTTAGCCACCAACCAGGATAGTAGTTAACGAATCTGACCGCGCACCGAAAGTTCAGGGTTCGAATCCAGGAGAAGGCATGGAAACACTCTAAATATGTGGCCAGGCAAAAGTCCTCATGTGAAGTTGGTGGTAGGGTAAGAAGAGTGGGAGACCCGCTAACCCTGCCCCCGGGATGCTCTCTCTCTCTCTCTCAAAATTAGGAGTGTAACTGAGCTAAAGTCGTGTTGTCATTTATATAGTGCTCAAGGCTCTTGCCGGTGATAAGCGCATATGACTTCCTGCTACGATGAATATCGTGAGCTTGTGCTGATCTTTGTCAGACAATTGAGATTGGAAAATAACAGCAACGAATGCTTGTTAACTGCTTATTCCTTTGCGAATTGATTAATGGAATGATTTTTCCTTGACAAATTGAATTTAAAGCTTAAATTACTTTCACTTGTATTTTATTCCAAATGTATTAAAGGAATATATTGTAAATTGCATCATTTATTTCGAATAATTAATATTTATATATAGGTAAATTTTATTATACTATGAAATCGTGGAATTCAACTCAGAAATTCAAAATGACTAACAACAACATCAACACCAAACTTCTTTGCACTCTTAAAATCACGAATCGGAAAGCCCCTATTAATATTATCAATTAAAAAGCCATCAAACAGTATCTTATTATGGTCTGTTACTTTAAAATATGCACTAGTACAATGCATTTCCGACCCTCCCTCATTTGCGACCGTAATATGTGTAGTCATCACCGTATAGCTATTATTTTCTCCATTTCATTTGAGATTGTAGTTAAAATGAACCTTCTTTCACACGTTTTTTAAGAAGCGAAACACGCTAAAAGGAAATGAAAGGGGATAAAAACAATTAAGGGACTCGATCATCTGCCGCAGCTGATGTTAGTATGGTTACGAGGCAAGCAGGGCCAGAGAAAATAGCCCTGAAATGTCTATTCTACAATTACAGATTGTAGTAATATCACCAATACAAACCCTGCATATTATAAGATATTCATGTAACATTACTACTTAATTTACATAAACAGTATACGCAATAAGTAAGCGTGGCCTTATATGGTTTCACCTTTCTATTAGTGAATTAATCTGGTGACTTATTTCCACATCTTGCGAATTTCTCTTAACAGAGAAGATCAATTCATAACAAACATCCTCACAAAAAAGGGCTATTAATTTAAGAAACAGACAAACAAAAAGTGGAACAGGCATCTGAATAATAAAATTAGTGCAACCAGGAAACGTGCATATACATCTGCACTGTTTGTGTAAATAACGTAGTAAACTATGTAAGTTTGTGCAAGCAATGTGTAAATTTTCATGCAATTAAATATATTTGGGTGCAGAAAATCTTTAATATTAATGTATTTATTTTGCTTTTAAACATTTGGAAATCTGAGGATTTGCCTAGCGACTGCGCTGTGAATTCTGCCTTTCACGACAAAAGCATTGCCTTAGCTGTATGTTATAAACATAGCTCAACCGTGGCAAACGCAACCTTGGCTAGCGTTGTACTAAAACACTTAGAATCGCCCAGAAGGGGTGTTAATTACTTACCGAAGGGTGAGAGGGTCACATGAGATTTCATGTTTTGCCGGAAAGTGTGAATTTACTGGAGGAAAAATCCCCCTGTCTTCGGGTGATCTATCGCGCCTTTGTTCCATATTCACAGATATAAATCTGGGATCTGCAACCCCGGAAACCACAAATTTTGAATTTTTTAATAAGCTACGAACAGTGCATATTTCATTGCTCAATTTAAAAAATAATATAATTGAGCAATGAAATATGCAATGCCAATTTAAAAAATAATATAATTAAAAATAATGGATCGACCATATTTTTTTAAGAGAAAGCATTGTTTTGGCAGTTTAAACAAAAAAGGTCAAAATGTTTTTATCCAATTTGAGAAGGATCTTCCCTGATTGTAGCTGATTTAACGGAACATTTGCCAATATTGTGATCTCCTAAACAAACATGTTGTTCCGTACATTTTTCTAAAATATTTGTTTTTCCAAAATGCATAAAGTTTTTAGCGCAAAAATCAAAAAGAAATATAATAATTATTTCTTATAAGTATTATAATTAATGAAATACCTATAATAATCATTTAATATAGTTATTATAACTAATTATTAAGAAATTTCTCTTTCTATTGTGTATGAATGGACATACGTTTTAAAGACAAAAATATATAATAATCATTAATTATATTAGATTCATTGCCCCCATAGCACAAAACTTCCTAAGGATGTCCTATTTAAGTCGCAATATCCCGGGACATACTTAGGATGTCCTGAAGATGCTGATTCTCAGATGTCCTGAGGAGATCGTAATTTAACATCCTGAGGATGTCTTATTTAAGTCGCTATGTCCCGGGATATGAGAGGATGTCCTGAAGATGTTGATTCTCAGATGTCCTGAGAACTTCACCAATTTCACATCCTGAGGACATTCATTCTGCATTGTCCGGATGACTTCCGGTGTCAAACATTCTGAGGATATTTGTTCTCAAATTTACCAGTTTTAATTTTTTGACACTGCACATCCGAAACTTACACATTATTTAATTTTCATATGTATTTTCATATGTGATGATAACACAATAATGAAAATTATACAAAAATATAATAATTAAATAATTACTATATTAATATTTATACGATAATAGTTATTTATTGCACTTTATATAAAATTATGTATGCATATCAAATTTAGCTTTTGAAAATACTGACAATTTTACCAATATAATAATAAATAAATGCAAAAAATTAAACGCAATGTAATCACACAATTAATTATAAATAATTGATTAGCATATTATCATAGATTACTTAAAAGTAATTTTGTGCTCTTTGAACGCAGTGAACTTAAATAAGGAAAGAATAACAACAGAAAAATACCCCGCCACATGCTTCATGTGCATCCATTCTATTTCGTGAATAAATTGGTCCGAATAACCCATGCATGTTTGTGTTCATGGTCTGAGTTGTAGCGGTTCAACTATATATATGAATTCCATTCTATAAGCACATTTTTCAATAAGTGTATATATTTAACTTACGTTTAAGTGCTCCAGTGTTTTGTGTTTCAATTCTGTACAGCTCTCATCCAGTCTTTCGAAAATTACAGAATCTGCTCCTTTGCAGTACAGCTTCAAAACGCCGTCTTTTCGAAGTATCACCTACAGAATATTACGTGTGAAACATCAGTATGAGACTTAATTTCTTTTTTCTATTAAAACTAGTATAAGTTAAATGACTTTGTATTTTGGTTTAGTTTGGTTTATTTATGCCAAAATTTCTGTTCAAGAGCGTGATCTTTGAATATTTCCATCCTGCAACAAGCCAAAGACTTTATAAAAAAGATTTATATTTTACATTTAATATTTGAATTTTTCCATCTACAAATTGACTATAATTAAAATTGACCCATCTAGTATAGTGACATTGTAATGCTGAAATACAGTTGAACGGGAAGAATCTTAAGAACTGATAAGTAAATAATCGCTTGAGTTCGTGTGACAGGAAACAACAAGATGGAAGGGTAAATAACCCTTTATTATTCAAATAAGATTTAACAGAAATCCCTCTTGGAGTTGGAGTGTACAATAAAAACCCACACTTGGGCTTGAACTTAAGAGACTAAGAATTACACTAAAACTAATCTAAAGAGATATAGCCGAAGCTATTAAGATTCTAACTGAGTTAGCCCCTTAGCGTTAATAGACTGCGAAGATATCAAGGGCTTAAAGTACGGCCGAGCGTAATAATAGCTTACGAGAGAGTAGCCTAAGGAGTCGGTCGCGTGCAGCCAGAAACCTGCTATCTCTCTCGCTAAGACTGAAGAACTTCGCGGTTAAATACCGCTTTTCCTCATTATGTATTCTGGCCGGAAGTAGTAAGTTGAAGTTATGAATCGATAGGAAAGGAACTTTAGCTTCAAATTTAACTGTTAATAAAATTAACATAACCCTTACAACATGTAACCGATAAATGGATTCATTCGGAAATACACATGCGTGCTATTCGAGGAACGCGAAGAAAACACTTCGAACAGAAATTAAGAGGGAAAATTGTCCAATGGAGCATGGTCTAAGTAGGGGTTCCCAAGCATTTTGTCTTTAAGAGCACATTCTAGAATATCTGTTTGGACTGCGTGCGCCATTTACTTTTCCAATGTGAATTTGTAGTTGAATAGAGTTAATAATGCATGCACATAAAATAAGAGATCTGTTGCATTTTCGCTTTGTGCTGGTATCTGTGTTGCTCGCAATTTCTATTTCATTAAAAGTGAGAAAACTTTCACATAGAACTTTACTGAAAACTAAAACATTTTTTTACAAGTCAAACAACAAAAATCAGCAGTTATATTTGCAAATTTTCACAGGACTAGTTTCGATGGTTTTACCGAACCATCATCAGCAGCTGCCAAAGTGGAAATGAATGAGATAAGATAAGAATTTGGCTGGGCAGAAGTTAAGCTACTGGCGCCATCGATTGATGAAACAAGAAAACTAAAACATAATTTCCTTAAAGGCTGAAGGTAAGGATTGGAACTAGGGTCCTTAACCAGAACAAAAAGATTTTTTTGAATGTGAAACACCTTTAGAACGCTGATTAACGCTGACTTTTGTTGTTTGACTTCTAAATTATCATTTGTTCGGCGTGTTATTTTACCTTAATTAAAACATTTTTATTGTAATCACACAGCGGCGGACACGCGTTAAATAATTGGCGGGTCCCATGGTACCCGTGGGCATTGGGTTGGGAACTTCTGGTCTAAGGCAAAGAAACGTATAAAAACAAATGAAAAAACAATAAAAATATTTGAAATATTTATTACATTTTAAAAAATTACAAATGGAATTAAAGACAGAAATGTCACTACAAAAGCTTGAGGTAATTATTCGGATTATTTTACACATATGTGTGTCATTAGGCATTCGATTCCTAAGCTTGGCACCTACCCACATCGGATCTCTTAGATTTCTTGATATAAGGTACCTTAAAGAATGCTGTTTATCGGGGAAGTGCTGCAACTTTGGCAGCATTGAAGGACCTTATATCTTTGCTTGCGCGGAGCATTGCAGAGGGTATTTGCAAATGTCTAACTGAATAACATTTTTTATTGACCTCATCCTGTTCAAACTGAAGATCAATATATATTAAGTTAGATTATTCTGCAAGTACATAAGAAATGTTCAACTCTGCTAAGACACACTGTGTACTGCAATCCATGATTTTATGCAAATCAGCTTGTGTTTAGCTTTCAGCATTCCAAATGATAATTCTTTCAGATGTTTCATTCATAATGCTCGTAAATGGTAAAATCCAGTGGTTCTTTATGAGTTCGAAGACAGATAAATTACTCTTAATACTCACTTTATCTTTGGTTAGTAGGATTTTATTTGATGTGCACTTTGCGGAATCCCTAATCATTAATTGCAATGGTTATTTTTATCGCATTTTTCAAAATGAATTCAAATAAAAAATAAAATATAGAACTGCAGAATGTCCTTTTGATACCTCACTGTTAACTCTCAGCCGTCAGTTTCCATGGACCAGAGTTTAAAAATCTTCAGTGTCATAAATGATTTGATATTTTGCGTGACTTACGTCAGTTATACAAGAGATTCGTTATTTTTCTGTAGTTTATATTTAGGCGTCTTCGAGTCTGCATAATATGCATACTGGAGGGTTAATTTTTATCTTTGGTAATTTATTTTGCGCGTCACTCGAATAGTACAAGCATAAATTTGCAGTAAATCCCTCTTCTCGGTTACACAATTTTCTTAACAAGCAATTTTTACTACAATCATCAGGTGGTTTTACTAGAAACTGAAGAACGTTTACTTTAATGCTAATAAATGCAACTTTTAAAATAAAGGTGAAGCTAAAGGTAAAATTAGAGTTTTAAAATAATTTCGAGAATTACGAATGTTTAATACATTTTGGGTCAGCTTGACTTAACAGTTGTTATATAAATTCGCCATAAAAACATAATTTTTAACGTGTTTGACGTTAAAGATGCATAAAGCATATTTTATTTAAAAACTGTATTAGGCATTGAATTATAAGTATTATAAAATGAAGTTACAAGTACGACCATCTAAGTAAGTTGTAAACCTAATTTATAATTTACTCAGGATTACTTTGTTAAAGATAGCATAAAATGGAACTTACAGACATACGCTTGCGTACGTTATTGAAATCTAAAATACAATACAAGTCATATACTTCATGATGCCCCATCACGTCAATGACTACAGATGCTGGTGTCCGATTCTGCAGAGAAACATAAAAATATGTCAAATAATTATAATGTAAATAATAGCAGAATTATTATAAGTCTTATAAACTGAACCACTATAATAATCTCCCTGACCACTATACCGTCGCCGGACGGTATAGTGGTTAGGGAGCCTACTACGGTACCGAATGGCACGGGTTCGAATACTGGGTAAGACATGGATGTTTGTAAATGCATAGTGCCGGTGCGGCATAGCGGCACTCTAAATATGCGGCGAGCCGAAAGGTCCTCTCGTGTGGATTGGTGGGTGAGGAGAGGGGTGGGAGACTCCCGGATCCCCCGAGTACTCTCCCTCAAAATTGGGGGGGGGTGGAAAATAGAAGTCCATCCTCTCTTTGGAGCAGGCTATGCCAACCATTGTTCCATGTAATATGGACTAGACAACAACAAGAACAACAGAATTGTTCACCTGCTAGTCAAGAAATATTAAGTATGACTTGAAGTGCTTCACAATGTTCGTATCAGATGCGTTTGCAAATATGATATTCAAGACCTTTTGAGTCAAAAATTAGAAATTATATTTTCCTGGTACATGAAGCCTTAACTTCTCTTAACTATCCATCCATCCACTTCAGACTTTTCTCCATATGAAAGAGTATTTACTTACAAATAACCTTAGATTTTAAACACACAGAAAGAATCACGTTATATTTTTATTACCCCGAGACGTGTATTTAAAATTCAAAGAATTCTGAATACAAGCGTCACAAGGAAATGAGGCATAACTAAAACCAGTTTCGTCTGTTGTAGTACTGCACATAATAATAAGCTGCAAATTTTCCCGAGGACTCAATTTATCAGAACGAAACATTTTATCCGCCTCTTGAAATTTTAAAAACTGCTCTTCGTTTTTACTAAAATTCAAAATCACATATCTTAAATGTTATTATCATCGACACTGGAACTGTCTTGGTATTGTATGTATTGCCAGAACTGGAAACATACTGGAACTGGAACTGGAAACGACACTGGAACTGTCTTGGTATTGTATGTACTCAGAAAAGTAAAAATATATGGTACAGAAAAATGTCTGTCAAGAAATAGTACACAGTCAAAATCGTAAAGACAACCTTGTATTTAAATTAAGAAGAAAAATAGTTTCGAGGGCAGCTAACTAGCTGCCCTCGAAACTATTTTTCTTCTTACTATGTAATTCTTTCTTCTGATGAGGAGGGACCTTTAGCTGCCCTCGAAATCGATTGAGTGTTTCAATATACTTACGCTAAATACAAGGTTGTTTTTACGATTTTGACTGTCACATTAGCGTGTTTCTCTTCTAGTCTAATAGTACACAGATTTAAGAAAGAGCAATAATATGGATTTGTTTTAAATTTAAAGGTTTGGCCAAAAAACATTAAAAATTATTTAGTTTTGAATGGGATGAAATCAACTGCATATTTTTACTATTAAGTGAAAAAAATAATATATTTAAATATTAATAATTAAATATTGATGCTAATTTCTACTAATATAGTTCCATTTTTAATTTAATACCTAGATCTAAACATGTTATTTTCTATTGAAATTTTGTACTCGGCGTAATAAAGCAAAGGGCAAAAATATTTCATGTTTCATGTAATCATATACAATTTATAGCCTTATAAACTATTTTAGAAATTCAGTTTCTTAACTAGAACTAGCGTTAATTTGTACTGTGACGTACCAGACATCAAAGGTTTTGGACTAATAACGCGAAGTGAAACTTTGCTACGGGGAATATAGTCTTTATGTGTATACTAAAAAAACACAATTCTGTTTTTCTTTCACAGGAATTGTAATACATAAGTTTATTTTTTTTTAAATATGTAATGTATTTGAGAATCAAACAACACGAGAACACGATCGAAGTCTTTCATGATGTAGAAAGATCATATAAATTAATCTTGCCTTTCGGTTGTTTTGCTTAAAAACTGAAAAAGAAGATAACCTATGATCCATCGAAAAATTGTCTTCTCGTGTTATGTATGATTTAAATTGATTTACAAAGTGAAATGCTGTTACAGGCATAAAAAGGCTATCATCTTTTATGTGATTAATAAAAAAATAACAAATTTGACGAAGAAATTATAGAAAATTTTGATCCAAACTTACCCGGAAAACAAATCCAAAGTTTCTAGCTGCCGATGTGAGTGCCTCTTCATCAGGAGATTGTGCTTGATATTCCAAAATACCTCCTAGAAAAAGTTAACATAGATTTTGACACTGTAAATTAATTTTAAAATTAACTCTGTAAGTAGATATCTCTTAATTTCTTGATCTTTCCGCCGTTGTATTGGAACAGTTAAATGTACATAATATTTTTACACAAATTCTTCAGGACAAGTACATTGAACGTCCTGGACAACTCACCTGCTTTTTCTTCAGACATGACAGTATGGCACAGAGCAAGTAACCTAAAGAACTCGTAAACGTAAGGATCTCCATTTCGTATATCTTCGATCAAAGTTTTGTCGTAGAACTTGAATTTGGCTTCATGCATCGGATTAAAGGACAAATCGATTGGTTTCGTATCCTAGAAAAGTTTGAAATAGAAAAAAATATTTCGTTAAGACTCAGAAGTACAGCAAATATTTGAAACTGCACGACGTTACGTGTGTGAAGTTCAGTTTACAATGAAGTTATACTACAGTGTTCGATTACAGGAAGATTAATATAGCGTCGTATTTGAGAGATTCGTCAGAAATGAATTAGCTGACGTTGTTGATAATTCCCGGAAATTTACCTGTTCTATTGGTAAATACGTATGCATCCATATAAACTTTTGCTCAAGTTGATACGGCAATGCCATTTGAAAGTAGCATCTTATTGATATCTGTGGATTGTTACGGAAACTTATTTCTTTGAACTAGTCCTACAAAAAGAAATATGACTCCTCAATTAAGAAAAGAATGGCGGCAAAGGCCTTTTTGAAATTTTGCTCTTGTTAAAGATTCCTCTAGTTCCAACATCGACTTCGTACGGGCGATATGTTGTGCCATATTACTGGAAATATACGTGTGTGAATTATATATCATCTAACTCTTTAACGGTTACAAGGAAATTGAGTAAAGTTACCATAAACATGCAGAGCTGCATCAATATGTTCTCTTTGAAATAAAGGTCATTTCTAGAAAATGATGTCTACTGGTATAGCCAATCTTAAATAGTGTAATCCACTGCTCTTTAACGCATTCAGTACTCTAATATTAGCATATGAATGTCTACAGTTGTGCAAGAAAATGATTAGAAGGGACTTTATGAGTGATTATAAAGGACTTTAATAGATTTAATATGGCTACTATGCCTCGCGAATTTGCCTTCACTCATGAATCTGTGGCAAACATTATATTTGAACTGAGCATGTATGGATCTATATGATCTCAATATTTCCGAAACGTAGCCGACAAGCCTGTTTGCAGATTTATTCTCTGTTAGATCTATTTGATGTATGTATTTGACACTGGATAAGGTCATTTTGAAGAATTTTTTGATAATTTTCTCCCCTTTCATTTCTGATCTATTCCCAAAACATAGAGTTTGATTCTGTAAGGGATGAGGACAAGGATGTCAAGATTAATTCATATCGTTAGGACGAACATTTTGAATTCCGGAAATTATGCAAGAAACTTACCTCTGTAATGACTATAGGTTCTCCTGTGTTTTCGTCCAACATATCTCCGTATAGCTTCCCATTAATGGAGCATTTGTTGAAGGTCATTATATTTTGGGTTAGAGTGCCAGTTTTGTCGGAGAATATGTACTCGATCTGCCCTAATTCTTCGTTGAGAGTGGTCGTCCGAGCTTTGGCCGGAGTGTCATTATGCGCGTAATACATATTTTCATCCCAATTGATCCACAGACTGTGGCAGAATCTTATGACTTCGACACTGCGGAAAAACAGAAAGAGAAAACATTCTTTAATCTTTTTTTGTGAATATGTATATATAGGTAAAAAGTAGCAAAATGAAAACAAATTGGGACAGTTAAATCACAGGACCTTTCAACAGAAACAAAATCTACTGTGTCGTTGATATATTGCATTGAAGATGGGTGGGAGGGGAACGTTCATCAGATTTAAGTGTTGATTTCCAGATTTAATAACAGAAATCTAATAGATGGGAGTGCGCTTTGCTTTAAAAGTTATTAGTATGCAGTGCCCGAACCTTGTTGGCATCTGGCTTGGGAAGACGATTATTTAGAAAAGAGAGTACTATGACTTTTAACTCGATATTTACTGCGGTCTAACATGGTCTCAATGAGATGCTTATGATAATCAAAAAAAAAAAAAAAAGATAAAAGAATCTAGTTGGCATCAGACTTGGTAAGAAGATTCTCTAGAAAAGAGAGTACCATGAGTTTTAACTCGATATTTACTGCGGCCTAACAGGATCTCGATCAGATACTTACAATAATAAAAAAAGAAGATAAACAGAAACTTGTTGGCATCTGTCTTGGGAAAACGATTCTTTAGAAAAGATAGTACCATAGTACCAACTCGGTAAGCTACTGCGGCCTAACGGGATTTCAATGAAATACTTATGAGAATCAAAAAAGAAGATAAACAGAACCTTGTTGGCATTTGTCTTGAGAGGAAGATTCTTTAGAAAAGAGAGTACTATGAGTTTTATTATATACACTCTAGAAGAGATTCAGAGTTGGGATAGGGACAAACGGATTTACCTCCACAACAGTGACCAACAATCATGACTTTCTTCAGTGACCAACAGTCATAATCTTCTTCAGTTACCACAGGATGCTTCCTTATCGAGATCCTGTTACCATTAGATCACGCAGCGCTACCCGACTTTGAACTGTGTATAGTTCCTGTTTGTTTGTTGTATATATTCACATGTCCTCTGTTTCTGCCTCATAATTATCGACAAAGTCACTGCGAATTTTCTTACATTGACTCCTTAACTCCGTGCATTGCACTTGCTGGAATTTGTAATCTACTGACAACATATTAACATACAACGGGAAAAATCTCGCTACTTATAACAGTGGTCTTTTTTATTAAGTACCTAACATGGGTGTGCCCTCATGCGGTTTCCCAGTTATTTCTCTACTCAGATGACACTTGACGTTTGGAGTTCCTCTCCCTCTGACAATGACAGCCTCGAGCGATATGCATGCAGGATGTTGTAAAGCAGATCACTCCATCAGGCTCACAGAGGAACAATTACAATGCCGATTGTGTATAGCTATTGTGTATCTGATCAGACAAGCTGATGTTGAAGTGAAAAGCAATTCTACATGTAGATTTCAGTTATCAAAGTTGTAACCCTTTCCCTTTAAACCTGAAAAAGAGAAGACTGTCTGTCAGACGAATGGTTCATGTCGCGACTAAGAGTTTGAAGAAAAAGATTTAGTTCCTGATTCCTTTCAGGTTTAGATATATATCCTTTATACAATATTAATCCTTTTCATCTTTCCATTTAAAACGCAAAATTTATCCTTTCGTTTTAACAATTACAGAGAATTGTTCAATTGTTAATAGTGCTAATTCTGACACAGGCTTTATGAAAGCTTTCAAGCTAAATATATACACTCAAGATAAATATTTAAATACTTAAAAAAGAAATCCAAGAGGTAGACAATTTTAATAGTAGGTAAAATTTAACAACAGTCTGTTAAAATCTTATTTATTATTATTTACTCACTTTGAGCTCCATTATAAAATTACCTGCGAATTAAAATTAAAGGATATTACTCAAAGTAAAATTTAACTATTTTTGACAAATCTCTGTCGAAGAGCTATATTTGATTAATTTATCTTTCTCAGAAATGATTTAAGAAATTTATGCGAAAAATTATTTATCAGAAATTACTATGCTTACCAGTTGTTTAATCTCATATTGAACTTGAACTCAAACTTAATAAAAATTTAAAAATGATGAAAAAATGAACTCTTTTATTTTGCAAAATCTCTTTCTTTAATATGGTGTATGATCCTCTCTAAATGAAATGAAAAATTCACATCATTATTTGCTAGAATTTAAGAAAGTGTTGATCTTGTCTTGTGGGACTACATATCACTCTTAAGAAAGAAAATCCACTTTTCATATCTTGAAAGGACATGCAGGCATTTGGTGCGCTGAAATCAAGTGGCTGAAGGCATCCCAAACATTCTCAGTTGGTGTAAACTCTGGTGGGTAACCTGCTGTTTCCAAGTATGCTGAAGTCAGAGATGCTTATAGCGGATGAGAATTACCACCCATTAGAGAAACAACTGAAACAGCAGTACCCCTAAGCATCCTTAAATGGGATCCGTCTACATATCTGTATCTAGATACAGAAGCTTTGTCAAAAATATACAGCTTGGTAAGTTCAATTCTGATGGTTACATATGAAAACACTTTCCTCTTTCGTGAATAAGGGAAGAGAAGTTACGTGTTTCTCTCTTTTTCCAGATCTAAGCACATTTAGAATCACAGTTCAGGCCATATCTAACATAAGGCTTCATTTTTGTTGACTTCACTGAATACGGCGGGGACATCACCTTAAATGGGACTTTGGAAGATGAAGGAAGACGGACACAGCACGAAATTTTCTCGCATTAAGTCCAATCTCGAGATTCCTTTATAGGGCAATAAAATCTTGATTTCAATTCCTGTGGCAGTCTGAAATTCTAAAACCTAATCTACTGTTAATAGCTTCGTTGTTACTTCTAATCGAAATAGGAAAAAACGTACTTGAGTTGTTACTCTTATTTTCTTTGACCTGATGCATACTAAGTGAATCGCTACTTAGAAAATGTTTAAGTTACTTAATATCACATTTCGAAGGATATACAAATGTTGGCTGACTTCCACATTTGTATTTACTCTTTTCGGAATCTATCAATAAACTGCTACGTTTATCTTTCACTTAAATAATGCCTTTGAACCATAACTAAACACTGACCCGTTTAGAAATCACGCATTATTAGCTTTAAACAACATTGTCCATCCATTGCGAAAATCTTCGTAAACACCGGCAGGAAGTGTCACACTATAAACAATATTGTCTTTTTCTTGATAAGTCTTAAACAGTAAACGTTTCATTATACATCCTTTGCTCAACACATTTTGTCTCTTAATTTGCATATTGCATGCGTTTACCTCAGCGTAGCTTTGTAGTAAGGTATAATTATTATGGTAATTAACATAATAATTATACCTTTAGTCGAAAACTTCAATCAAGGAGGATATATTTTAGATTATCCTTGAATTTTGACAAGCACTGTGTTATTTCGTTCAGTTCCAATTAAATAACAACGGAATAGTCTCAAATAGTGTGAAAATGATTAAAAGACAAATGTCTAATAAGAAGGGAGAAAATATGATTGGGAAATTAGTAGAGATCAATTGCTTGAAAAAAAGATTACTAAAAACGATCAATTCATGATGGCGGAATACATAAGCAGCTCGAGAAAGGTTTAAGCGCAGTAAAATAAAGTACGTCTGTCTGTAAGAGGACAAGGACAATTTTGGTTTACTATATTATTAGGTCAGTCCATGTGTTCGTGCGCATTAAGAGTATGCGTAGAATTCACTATGACGCATTTACTAAAACAATACAATTTTGTACCTGTTGAAACTTGTCATCGTTTGACTAACATATTATTCAGTCATCACCAACTTTCGTAAATATCGAACGCATTTTAGTACCCTAGAAGATGAATATAGATAATCAGTACAAACGGCTGTGCAAACACCATTTTTATTTTTTGGTGGGGAATCTGCCAGGTTTGCGGCGATAAAAATTAATAGTGTACATTAGTGTAAGGACTGCCCAGAAATGGTTTAAAAAATTTAAAGTTGGAAAAAGCAGCATTGATGATGAACCCCGTTCGGGACGTTTTGAACTGTTAGAACCAACAACGTTGCCGTCTAAACTCAGAATTGATCAAAAAACTTCCACGATTGGTGAATATCAAGAAAGTGTCGTTTCATCGTGATAACGCTAGACCGCATACGGCTGGAACAACGCTGCAAAAAATTAATGAATTTAATTGGGAGCTTTTGCCACATCCTGCTTACTCCCCAGATATTGCCTTAAGTGATTTTCACTTATTTTGTGCCTTAAGAAAGTTTTTACTAGGAAACAAATTAAATTATAAACAGGATGTACACAATGAACTTTCAAGTTTTTTTGCATCAAAACCAGAGTCTTTTTACACCAATGTCATAAAAGAGCTGCCTGTAACATCGCGAGACGTTGTAGATAATGTAGGAAAATATATAATTGATTAAAATGTATTTTTTTATATTAAAAATTTACCAAAAATGTGCACGTATTTATGGACTGACCAAATATTCATCATATTAATTCTGCATATTCTGCATATTATTCTGTTATATTACTCTGCATACTATTCTTTTCATATTAATCCTGCGTATATTCTACAAAAACGTAAGATTTTTGTAATTATTTTAGTTACTCTTCCATTCAGTAAAGTCTCTTAAAATCTCACCTGACATAGAGAGATATAGGCACAACGGTATTCATGACAATGCCGTAGGAGAAGAAGACGAGGACGGCTGTGACCGCAGCGCCACTAGTGGTGCTTTCCGGCGCCAACGGGTCCCACGGCAGGTAGAGGCGGAAGTGCTGGCCCGTAACCGTCTCCCACACACCACACGCTACGGTGCAGAACAGGCACAGGCTCAGCAGGAAGAACACGATCTGCGGAAAATTAACAAAATAAGTTTGTTTGCACACTTAAAAGCAAATGGATCGTAAACACGCCTTTCTGATGAAACTTCCTTTTGCAAAGTTTCTTTGCAGTAAAAGTTTGATTAACGTATTAACAGAGGATTTCAGAAATTAAAAGAGCATACATAAAACAGTTTTCGAACGATAAAATTACATACCTCATTGGTCTGAAATTTAGAAAACTCTTCATAAGACATCCTCAGGTGAAACAGAACTCATTTTTGAAGTTCTCTTAACAGAAAAGAAACGCTTGCATACTATGCCAAAACCACGATATATTTAAAGTTTGAAACCTTTGGAAAAATTTCGGCTTTAATATATCGATATATCATAATTAATTTGTATGTATTTAGAAGAATACACATTTTCCTCTTTTCTCCCTCGTCTTTTACTTTCTACTTAAGCGACAGTCGTTAAACAACTTATGTAATTAATTAAATAAAGAATAAAAAATGCAGATTAGTAGTACTGCATAATGTCCACGAAATATAAGCCTTATGTATTTCCGATTTTCCGCAAGAAAGGTATTAATTAAATTGTCCATAAATCATACCTATATTTTATAAGATATTTTCTCCCTTCTTCCAACATGCCTTCGTTGTGTAATAGTAACACACTCGGCGCGTATGCGAGATGTCCAGGTTCTTACTTATGACTTATGACTTACTTTTTTCTGGTCATTAACTACTAAAGAGTTTTCGCCAGTAGATCGCATTAAAGTGCACTAGGCAAAGATATTTTCAAATAGTACCATTATTTGAAAATATCTTTGCCTAGTGCACTTTAATGCGATCTACTGGCGAAAACTCTTTAGTAGTAATGACCAGAAAAAAGTAAGTCATAAGTAAGAACCTGGACATCTCCGATAGCTTATGCTGGATAAAAATAAATTATGACGAAGTAAAAAGTGGTGGACAATAATTCGTCACCACCAGGATTTAGCAACTGGGTTCTCTAATCTCCAGTCGCTCTTTTAAAAGGGTGAGTATATAAGGAATTTTCTTCCTCTTTCTAGCTCGGCTTCGTGATGTAATGGTAGCTCACTCGGCGCGTATTCGAGAGGTCCGAGTCCCGGCGAAGACATTGTTCATTTTTCATGTCTTCTTAAAAAAAGAACCTAATGACTGATTAAAGAATTTTATAAATTTTTTTCTTCTCAAACTTTACTTTAAGGCCAGACTTCGTTTGTTTTGTTCGATTATGGCAAAGCATATTAGAGCTCTCTGCCTAAGGGGAAGGATGCCTTCGTGGAGGACTTTCTAAGAGAAGCTGGGAAGCTCCATATGCAACACGTTGCATATGGAGACAACCATAAAAATGCCCATGCAGCCAGCTCGAGGCCAGGAATAAGTGAAGAATTATTTTAAAACATGATTGCGGATACACCAAGGTTTTATTTTTAGAAATACATTTAAAGGAGAAAACATAGCTTTATTTTTGCACCTGTAGGTACTTCTAACGCAGATGTTTCAACCATTTTAACTAAAATAACTTCTATTTGCACAGTTTAGTAAGGAATACAAATATGGATAACGAGCTCCAAAGTGCAACATACCCCACATTCTTATAACGACATTTAGAGAAGCTGACATGAATTCACACTGCAGTTATAATAAAATTGTATATTATTAAACTTAACAAGATAAAAAAATAAATATATTTTTCGTAGGATTAGACTGACAGCGCCAGATGTAAGCCATTACTATTATTCATGCCGAAATGAATGGGCAAGCAGGCATAACTCTCGACAGATGGGAAATTCTTTTCTTTCGTAACATAGCGGAATCAGTATAGAGGTCTTGGCAGAATAGCACTGTATGTAGGACTGACTAATGAAATCCTGTTTAAGTGCGTAGTGACTTTTATATTCACAGAAGAACATGAAGAAGAGTCAGGGTTGTTTTGATCCTTACTTCCGTTTAACTGAGAGAAAATAACCTTTAAACTGCAGTTCTATTCACTGAAGTTATTAAATAAGTATATGCAAAGTTGGCAAACATTTATATTTCAGTCCGCTTGCATGATTTTTAAATAAAATTCAGATACTTTAGAATGCAGACATAAACTGCATTCTGAGTTTTTATTTTTTATCGTTATTGGTATAAAGAAAGATAATTCAAAGGCAGGAGAATTGAGACAATTATGTTATTTATTTTAACCTTCATATGTTTATTTTTACACCACTAAAAATCTTGTTTTTCTAGCGACAGTCATTCAGCAAATTCAGAAATTTGTAAAAATCTTAGCTATGTGAAAGTTAGTTTAAAATTTTATTCATATTTGTATTTCCATAACTTCCATGTAATCCATAACTTCCATAACTTCCATGTAATTCCATAACTTCCATAACTTCCTTGTATTTCCATAACTTCCATGTAACTGCAATAAATGCTGAAACTTACAGACATTAATTACTGCTGGAAAAGCATAATTTCTGTTCGAGAAATTGCGTAATTCGGTGCTTGTCACCGCTGTTTCTGAAAATTTGCTTTTGGGTGTTAGCGGAGGATTAAAAAATAACAGATTTCCAATTGATCAAATTAATTTAGTAGCTAGAATAGTGAATTGTGAGCGTCGTTAGTCCAGTAACTGTTAATCGGTAGTTAGAAATAAACTTTTATTTATCATTAATTAAGTCTATTTCCTCTCCGATCTGTCTCTTGAAACATATATGAGAGAAACATAGGTCATTAAATTCTGTACAGTGTGATAAACGGAAAGTCTAAATATGTGTCAGAGTTAAGAAATTAAGTCTTTAACTTTGGAGGAAATTCTTTTATGAAACTACCAAGTGACCTTGAAACAATTTTTTGTGAAAACAAATTGCCAAAAGAAAAGCTTGCATATGATTTTTATGTAAATAATTTCAGATTGGAGAAAGGGAGGGAGTAACAGAAAATGAGAATTCTATTCTTCGACACCAACCGAAATGGGAAAAATAAGAATCATATTTCTTAAATTCGAATTTCTGCTCTGGCTTATAAGGTATTTCTCCCGGCACCCGAACTAAAAGGGTTGTGGATGATGATTCTCCGCACCCAAGATTTGGCGACTAGATCCCCTAAAAACCCTAGTCGCCCTTTAAAAAGGGGAGTATATAAGGTATTTCTCCCGCTTTCCTAGCGTGCCTCCGTGGTGTAACGGTAGCACGCTGGGCCGGTATTCCAGAGGTCCGTGGTTCGATTCCCGGCGAAGGCGGTTGCATATTTTTCAACTTTCCAGCTTCCAATTAACCTAATGACTCTACAGGCTTACGAGAAAGAATATTTCTACTGATATATATCACATCGTAGTTATACGAAGCAATTATATAAAAATCATTATGTTTCGTAATGCATCAAGTCCACGGTGTTGGAGGTGAGACTAACAGATTGAGTCTTTAAACCCTTAATGATACGAAATTACATCAGAATAACTCTTAAGTTAGTTCATTTGAAATTATTCAACCAAAGATATCGTTTCTTATATAAATACCTCTTATTAACATACTCTTAAATAAGTATCCTTATTTAACAGTAAAGTAAACAACATTATATTATTCATTGGTAGAGGAATCAGATGGTTTCACTCTTCGAGAACATTCGTTTGTTCGAAACAGAAATAAAGCAGTCTGTTTCGGAGACTAAAATTATAAAGTGGATATGGAAATAATAACAATACGCACTCTAATAATGATAATATTAAGTGGGTATGGGAATAATAACAACAATTCACTCCAATATTGATAACATTTAGTGGGCATGGGAATAATAACAACAGTTCACTCCAATATTGATAACATTCAGTGAATATATCACACTGCACTCCAATAATGATAAATAATTCAATAAAGATAACATTCAGTGAATTCTCTACTCACTTCAGTATGGATAACATTCAATGGATATGGAAATAATCAAAATCACTCCAATATTGATAACATTCAGTGGGTATGGGAATAATAATAGTTCACTCCAATATGATAACTCGTGACTAGGGAATTAACAATAATACTTAATATTACATAACAGTACACAGTATGGATAACATTCAATGATAGAATAAACCAACAATTCACTCAATATTGGATAACAATCAAAAAATAACACGCACAGTTCACTCCAATATTGATAACATTCAGTGAGTATGGGAATAATAATAACACTCACCAATAATGATAACATACAGTGGATTTAGGAGTAATTAACAATACTGACTCCAATAATGATAACATTCAGTGAATATACAATAACAGTACTCACTTCAGTATGGATAACTCAATGGATATGGAAATAAATACAACAATCACTCAATATTATAACCTCAGTGGTATGGGAATAATACAACAATTCCAAATGATAACACTGAGTATGGGAAAATAATATCATACAATACTGACTCCAATAATGATAACATTCAGTGAATATAGAAACAATAACAGTACTCACTTCAGTATGGATAATATTCAATGGATATGGAAATAATAACAATACGTACTCCAATAATGATAACATTCAGCAAGCGGTCGAGGCTTGTGCGTTTGAAGATGGTTTTTCCGCTGTTTTGCATGAGTTTAGTGTCTCTGCCAGCGAAGATGACGATCCCGTAGCACCAACGAGTGTTTCGCAGGACGCAGCCCCTGTATAGCACCTTGTCGTTATCCAGAGAATACGTTTCTCCCTCCCACCGGAGAGTACCCTCGAATTTGCTAAGGTTGTTGTTGGGGGGTTCACAGATTATATCACCTACAACAAATTGAGGAAGAATTTGAACTTCAACGCAAATGAAATTCGTAAACCTAAAAAAATTCTCTGCAGATTGATTGAGATATTGAATTTCACAGCTCCAATTATACTTGAATATTTTCAATATTCAAGTATAATTGAATATTGAAATAGGGAGTGTCATATTATTGAAAAATTAATATTTTTAATATATGAAAATGCTTTGAATATGTAAAAGAGTATGAAAATTCCACTGAAGAAACACATTAGCCAAGCAGCGTTGAAAATATCAAAAAATCTGATGTGGACACCGCACGACGTTCTTGTACGGCCTATTAAATTATGCACATTTTTTGTTGCATTTCTTCTAAACTTTTTCCCACGAATAACATTAGAGATATACTTCTCATTCAATTAATTCAGTTTTAACTTCGCGGCAAGGCAAAAATACCAAAAAAAAAAAAAAAAAACTCAAAACGTCTTGATTAAAATTGTAAAATACAGAAAAAACACTAAAACACAAACACTTAAAAAGAGTTAAATTTTTTTTCATAATTAAAATTAGAGTTTCTAAGCCAAGACAAGCAATTCAGCCAGAAGGCAGTTTTTTAGGTGCACTAGATTTAAAGTTAACGTTTGGTCCCGCTGGGAAAAAAGACGCTGATGTGTTGCGCTAACGGACATAACTCACAATACTACTGAGAATTTCAAATGTAAACAAATGGCGACCTCGTTAGGCTTAGTACCACTTAATAAATATTAATTTGCTGACAATTATTAACTAAAGCATGCAGATTAACTAAAGGCATAAAAACCTTAAAGGGAAAATAAGAGCAACAGAATTCAATCACTTAAAAAAAAAAAAAAACACAATTTACAAAATATCAGAAATAAAAAACCTGAGCTCTCCGACCCGGGTGACAGAGTGGGTATATACATACACAATTCTTGAGGCCGATTGCAACCAAAAAATGTGGTGCACAACTACATGTTATAGCAGCCCTTTCTAAAAACATTTCAACGTTCTGAGGATATTCGTTTTTCAGTTATCTGAGGAATATACATAAGTACGTACCTCACTACGTACAGAAGTCACGAAAAAATTCTCTTCTGATTCCATTTTAAATCTTTTTTACAATCCGCTTTGTAAAAAAGAGTACTGTATTTTGTCTGTAGGTACAGATGTCACTCAAAAACATAGTTCAAATGAATTCGAGAGCGGTCAAAATGGATATTTTCTTTCAAGTATGATACCCGGAATTTTTCGCGTATGATACCCGGAATTTCAAGTATGATACCCGGAATTTTTCGCGATCACAAAACTTCCTATTTCATACAAGGAAGTTAAAACATATAGTGTGATGAACACATAGTGAACATACCTTATTTTCCATGCTGAGTTTAGTACTGTATGGAGATTGCACAGGTGATGCTCAATACTATTTATTTTTGTTCTCAGGAATGCTAGTCAAATTCAGAACTGGTAATTTTATTAAGGCTTTCGCCTTTCACTATACACGTGGCGAAATATGAAAATGCTATGTATTATATTACTGTCATAAATTTGTAGAGCAATTAAATATTTTTTTTCTGAAGTAGAAATTATGAAAAATTATTTTTGCTCCCGCCAGGACTGGAACCATAGGTTTCTCGCTCGCTAGTCGAATGTGCTCCCAGTGCACCATAAGAATAGATAATGAGGAAGGTAAAAATTACTTATATCCTACTCCACTTTAAGGGTGACTGCAGAAAAGGAAATGAGACCAAATTGAGAAAATGCAAGTGATTATAAGTTATAGTCTAGTACATTTTAAGTGGAGAGCTATTTAAGAGCTCATTAGAATTTTTAGAAGCCATTAAATGGAAAACAAATCTCCTAAGCTTGGCCAAGGTTTCAACTTGACTGCCCAAGATCCAACTTCATTCACGATTTTAGGTGCATGAGAGACCAGTTACACCAAGAAACCATGCAGTGGGGAAGTGGAAACTCCTTATAATCTATACATGAGTTTGTTTCATAACTTTTCATTTTTAATGCTTAGTGTTAATAAATAATATATATGATTAGTAAGAGTTCAACAACTCAACACGACTTTCCCCACTGCATGGTTTCTTGGTGTGACTGGTCTAGGTATCGCAATGTATACTTGGTATCGCAATAACTAGCAATTTGGGCATTCCGGTCTTCGCTAGACTTAACAGCATTATCAGTCCTCTCACCCTTTGGAACACGTTACGGAGGTTCAACCCCTCCAGGAGAGGGCGCACCACCTGGCATCGCCACGCAGCACTGATCATTTGATTTCCTACCTGCCAGTCGCTCGGGCGAGCCCGTCGCAATGGTTCATTACCTAGCAAACCGTGGGCCACCACCAACCGGCTATCAGAGCCCTACCGCTCAGGACATGCCAGACCCCGAGGCCAGCCCACAATTACCTTTTCCAGGGCCTTCAGAACCACCAAGTTCACAAATTGTATATCCCCGTGGCCGAGACTGCCTAGGTACAGATCCTGGCCAGTAGCTTTGCAGAGTTCTCGACGTCGACCCCCCGGGGGAATATCGCAATAAGATGGACGATGGAAGAGAAGGATAGCAGTCGTGCTTTCGACTAAGAGGTCATGATTAGACAGCAAAGATGTAACCTTTCAATCATCACCCTTTTTTCATTTGTAAATAGTCACTAATGTATCTCCACCAATAGCTAAATACTTAAGTCAACTAGATATGTGTCGTTATCTTAGAAATCCCCTAGACACCGAGTTCACATATATATATCCTGTAATTTAATCAACGGAGCTCTCAGAGAAAATATAAAAATGAGTATAAAAAAATAACAACATTTAAGTTATGTTTATTCCTCAGATAACACGCTCTTTCTAAATAACTTTATGATAACATAGCATTGGATATATGAACAGTGTAATTTATATGACCACCTCCTTACGACGATTATCTCTAAAAGTAACCCGTATTTCTGGGAACATAAGTAAATATCAGTATTAGGTATAAGTTCTATCAGTATTAGGTTGTAGTGTTCCTCCCTTTTATTCTACTAAACTAAGTGTGAGGAACCTAGTGAACAGCTAAGCGAATAATCGCTTAAGTCCAAGAATATGAACATAAACTCAAGAAGGTTAATTACCCTTTATTTGCTCAAAATAAAGATTTAACAGTTGGTCCCTTTCTCAAGGCGTACAGAAAAGCCTCCACTTGGGCTTAAACTCAAAATAAGAATTAACTAATGACAAACTAAAGAGATTTAGCCGAAGCTAACGCAATTCTAAACTAGTTGGCCCGTAATATTAACTTAGCCAGCGAAGCTATCAAAAGGCACGTAATACGGCCGAGCGTAGTAACAGTTTAGAGAGACGTAGCCAAAAGGCAAACGCGCGCTATTCAGGAATACTAACTTTCTCTGTCGAAGTCAGTGGAACTTTGACTCAAACTTTTTCTACTTCTCATTTGCATTTAAAGCGATTCTGAAACCTCATTCTGGTAAGCAACAACTGTAAGTTGAAGCTTAGAAGAGATAGGAAAGTGTCATAAACTTAAATTAACTATTATAAAATTAAGGTATACCTTTAAGAAGGTATAAGTTCCATCAGTATTAGGCATAACTTCTGTAAAGTAGCCGCCATCTCAATAGAAGGCCGAAATCACCTGGAACCGTGAATGATCGTCTAAGTGGAGGTTTTTGTAGTATGCAAACTATAAATTAATCGACCATCACCATTAATGGTTAAGTTTTCGATTAAGTGGATGGTGTTAATAGTTTAGACTTTGAAAAATCAAAAACATATACACGATTGGATTTTCAGCAGTGCGCAATGCGATCATTCGGTACCACTGTGCATTCTCATAGTATTACCTATACAACAATAATTAGGTTCGACTTAAGAATGTTTTACAGTGTCAAAAAAGAAAACAAAGTAGAAGAGTACAAAATACTCCTACAGTTTTACGCTACTGCGGCGCAAAATTACAAAACTATCATTTAACATGAATTCAAACTTATTATACCGAGTATATACTTCACAAGATTTTACATGAAAAGCACAGAAATAGTGTTTTACCTGTAAATTTTGCAAAGAGTGCGTGATCTTCCCCCATCTCTGCAGTCTCCGGAATAGCTTGTCGGCATTTAAGATTTGTTTCCCTAAATAAGATGAGAAAAATATTTTAGATAGCCACCGTAATTAGTATAATTACACAATATTTGAAATATTTCGTTGATCGAAACAGAAGATAACCACTCCAAAATAAAACATAAATTTGGCAAGGCAACAACTTTGTGTTTAGCGTAAATACAGCTAAAAACTCTGTCGATTTCGAAGGCAAGTATGTATAGTCCCTCTTTGGTAGGAGTAAAGAATTTTACTGCTAAAAGCAGCAGATGGAACAGAATTAGTAATTTTAGCAGCACATTTTTTTTGCTCTTGATGAAGATGACCTTTACGTGTTTGCCCTCAAAATCGATAGAGTTTTTGACGAAACCTATCCCAGACGCAAGGCTATTTTTTTGGTAATTTTATTTCATAGCTATTTTATCATTAACTAAATTTACTCACCCATCGAGTTCAGCCGTTTCAATGTAGCAAAGTCCGTTGGGTTCGCTCGTGGAGAGTAAGAGGAGATCTGCCTGCGAAAACAGCCATTAGACACAAAACAAATCACATTCGACACAGTATATTCAATTACTGTTTTAATTCAAATAAGTGTGATTTTCAGCCTAACTGTTCCGTGCAAAACGTCTCAGTTTATTGAATGACGAAATTTGGAAGCTGCCGCCAGCAGCAATTTGGGAAGTACACAGTAAATTAGCAGTCTTGGTTTATTCGAATTGAAAACTAGTATTTTATTGTTATCTCCAATTTATGCACAATCACTAATTTCACGGAGCGATTATAAATGATTTATACACAATTACAAATTTCACGGAATGATTTAATATGATTTATGCAAAATCACAAATTTCACGGAAGGATTGTAAATGATTTATGCACAATCACAAATTCGACAGAATGGGTCAACAATCAACTATTAAAAATTTTGGCTACCAATTCCTTGATGCTGTCTATGTTACTGTCAATGTGTAAAATTAGGCAGTGTAGATAATATTTACGAATGCTCATAATACTGAAAATGGGCATCAAAATATGAAAAGCTTCAATATATTCACACATTTTTAAGTGTTCTTTACAATGAAAAATAAACTGCCAAAATATAAAATACTCCAAAATTTTTATTCTACTTTGCCAAGAAGTGTGACTTTGAACACCGAATTTTACCCGAAGAATATTAGTATTATAAAAATTGCACTTTAATCTGTGTTCTAAACTAACGATGCATGGGAATTTATATTTGTGTAATGAAATCTAGTTTATAAAATGCTAAGTGCGGAACAAAAAAATGTTCGGAAAAGAATCACAACGTGAAACAGAAGCATGACAATATTGTTGAAAGAGAAGAATGACTTTATTTGTTTCATTTATATACATACTCATGTTTAATAAAGCTGTATATTATTTAGCCAAAACAGGCGTTCACACAGAAGGGCTATTAATCTCGAAACGGCATATTGCGTGGAACCACTAAAAGCGTTGTATCCCTTTTTAAATTGTTGCCACCAAATATTATCTGTCCGTATTATATTTAAAGAAATTAAATCATGAAGAATCTACTTGAATACGTATTTTCGCGCATTGTCAATAAAATTACCACTTGGAAGCTCGAATTTGGAATTTGTTTTATTGTATGTTTCATATGTTTTAAAATTTTAACGAATTTTTGATTAACAAACTCAACGATTTCAAAGCGAGCAATGGCAACACTGTACGGAAAAAAAAAATTATCTGCTGCACGCGAGACTGTCTATCGGAAATTCTAAAGGTATGTTGTACTTAAATAATTTTATCTCAAAGGGATATAATCTCAAATACTCTCGAAACGTGTCTCGAACGAGTGCGTGTCTCGAAACGTGTATGTATCTATAAAATTTGAAATCTTTCAGTTTTTTTAATTATGTGTTTAGTTTGTTATCTCCAATTTATGCACAATCACAAATTTCACGGAGCGATTGTGAATGATTTATACACAATTACAAATTTCACGGAATGATTGTAAATGATTTATGCACAATCACGAATTTCACGAAAAGATTGTAAATGATTACTGTGTGTGTAAATAAAATTTCGAACATTTCCCTTGTAAACCTGCAGGGCATTTGGCAGGGAATTGTGAATAATATCTAGTTATAAGAATAGATTACAGATGCAAATACACACGTACACAGACACATACAGAACACAAAAGAACTTCATTATTTAATTTTATGAATAAAATTGTATTGGTTTATTGAGACATGCATATTTTATTTTTTAATTGTGTATAGTAACAGTGTGTGTATACACTGTAATTGTGCATCTTTTAACTGTTTTGACTGTAAAATAGAATAAGAGTGGATATAAAATTGTATATATTGCACGGATCTGTGCAATATATATTGCACGGATTCGTGCATTTGTGCAGAATGTGGATTAGTTTGAATGCTTTGATTTCTGCATTTTAAATATATTTAAAAATAATTAATGAATGATAATGAGTTAGAAAATAATTAATGAATGATAATGAGTTAGAATAATAATAATGAGTTAGAAAATAATTAATGAATGATAATGAGTTAACTAATGAATGATAATGAGTTAGAACAGCGTTTCTTGAACACTGTTTCACATGCTGATCATATTTAAAAATTAGAAATTTTTTCCGACCACCGTACGTTTCTCGTCTCTTTTCAAAGCAAAGAATTTGTCTAACGTGAGTGATAGTTTTTCAACATAGCGAATTGGTGTGGAAGTGTAAAAACTACAGTAAGGCATATACAGTAAATTTGAATTCTATTTTTTGTATTTTGAGGAAATCTAGGAGGATCACGAGGGCAGGCTTCGAGAACCACTTGTGGTCCGTGGACCACAGATTGAGGAGCTGAGTTAGAGGAATTTTCGTGACGTTCTTTGAAACAGGATATTGAACCTTTTATAAATGATTAGGATGCATTCTTTGCTGCATGCATCTACCTTTAATTAAGCAAATTTCCTTGACTCTAATTTTTCCTTGGAGCAGGATGACATGGATATTATGGATAACATAAAGGGATTAAAAATATCCAGATAACATGGTGAACGTAATTTTCGGAAGAAAAGTGTTGAAGATTTAAGTCCTTTAACTGTAAATTTGATAAGTACGTTTTTAATAATATTTATTTAGATTTTGAGACTAACTGGAACACTGTCTTGAAAAGTGGTATAATAAATAATTAATACATTCTTAATAACTACAAAGAGGAATTAAATCACTCAAATGACATTAAAGATAATTAATTAATTGAAAATTTAAACAAGAAGACAGTGTCAAAACATTCCTGTAACACTAAACTACGCGCGTGGGTGATAGGTTTCACTCAGAGATATCTACTGCAAGTCCGCAACACTGTTTGTGCATTTTCGAAGTCGCACGTTTCAGTAGCTGAAAGTTAATTGTTGATGTTCATTGTAGTGGCAGCAGTACAAAATTGATTTCACTAGACACAATTTCATAGGTGCGTGATACCTATCACCCACGCACCTAATTGTTCAACACAAGCGTACACGCCTAGCGCTGTCTTGAATAAAGACCAGAGAATACATAAGCGTAAGTTCGGTATCTATATCTAAACTATCTGTTTAAATACGGGTAAAGAAAAATTGCATTTATAAAGACAGTTTTTAAAAGAATTAGCACATGGGGCAAATCGTAACTTTTTTAGTTAATTCACTGGTTTGATTACAAAAAAAAAAAGGAAAATGCTGTGAATTTGATATTTTCGAAAGGAAAGAGACTCACAGCTACGAATTGGTCATTCTCCATCCGAATAATGTCCCCAACTTGTACCTTGTACCATCGTTCTTCAATTAGTTGGCCATCTCGGAGCACCTGGGACGAACGGTTGTTGACTTGACTGTCACTGCGATGGCGTTGCTGTGCGAAATAAAGGTCAGTAATCAGTCACTTCCTATTTTACAATAAAAAATAATAAGTCACATTACATTTCCAAGAAAAGACAGTAACGAATCACTGTATGTTTTCCAGAAAGGGCAACAATAAACCATTTTGTGTTTTCAAATAAAGAATAAGGAATATGTCAGTAATTTTCAACTAATAACAAATTCAAATTGTCCTCTATTTCCATAGAAGGACAATAACAAATATATTCATCTTTCCCAATAAAGGATAATAGTAAACTATTTAATATTTTCCATTTAGATGGTTTCACCTGTAGCTCCAGTGATGAAACTCCTGAAATAGTCCGACTTCTATTGGGTTCTAAGCGAACGGATGGACCACTGCACTGAGTTTAGTTGTCGTAGTTTCCTGCATATACTACGTGAATACTAGTAATTTTATGCAAAAGCTTTCTTCTTATGGCACAAAGCTCTTGCATGTTTGCTATCACATTAAAAATACATATTAAAAATGCGTAATTGGACATATTTCGTAATAAATAAGACTTCATAACGAAATGTTTAAGTTTCCAACATCATCTAAACTCAATCAATGTATATTAAAATATATCATTGTCTGTTAAAAAAATATATATAACAGGAGTTTCCTTTAAATTGAAATCAGTTGCTTTCTTATTCTAAGAGCAATCTTAGCAAATAAACGTAGCCTTATACAAAGAGATGAATTAAATTGTTGCAATTTAATTGAATTTATAGTCACAGCTAACTGCTATGCCCGTAATGAATGCATGCCTTTCATCATTAGCCATTGAGAATGCGTTATGTTTATTATATTGGGGGCAGAGTCATGGAAGGACTGCAGGCTAATATTGTTGAATTTACAGTAATACAGTACAGAGTAATTAGGATGATTGGTGCTACTTTGGTAGACGGTTGCACGGATTTTGGCGATTTTTTAGCGATATTCTGGCGATATGTTTTTGGCGAGAGATACGACTTATGGTAAACCCATTGCTGGACAAGTTATTTATGGTAACCGATACTTTGTTGTCATTTTATTTAAAAAATAATGCGTTTTATTATGCATAAATTCCGTGTTTTAAATATTATTTATGACTTCAAAATAATAAAATGAATTTAATTTTGCATTTTTATTTGAAATAAAAATTTTATTGTTTATGATATTTTATGGAATTTTATGTTATGAATGATGTAATGAATGACGTCACATTATTTTAAAAGTAATTGGTTTTAATATCTATAAATTTAATCTAATGTTTTAAACATTACTTATGGCTGTTAAATATTAAAATACAATTTAATTTTTGTAATTTTTTAAATATGATTTTATTATGAATGATTATTTAAATAATTTTAATTCTATGCGTGATGTAATCAGCTCCCTGATTGGTTACTGAATATTTGTGCATTTCCGCGCCATTTTAAAATTTTATTATTCATCTCTTAGAATTCCTCAGATTTCAAAACGAATGGATGTCTCCGTTTCGAAGATAAATGTTGTTATTGGTAATTACCAAGAATTATTGGTATCGGCATAAAAAAATTGCCGTGTGAAACTTTATTTTGGACAACCTGGATTTCCTACTCAAAGATTTATTTATTGTTACAAGGTTCAGAAGAAATTTATTAAAAATTTTTTGAGGAAACCTCGCTAATTGTTTCTTCAATGAAGTGCGAGAGATGGGGATAAGAGATGAAAATCGTTTTTTTTTTCTGGTACTTATCAATATACTTAAGGTAAAATGCTTAAAAAAAATGTAAGTACATATTTTTCTTTTACTTTATTATTGTATACTTAAATTTTTATTAAAAAATTAATACACTTTTTTCAAAAATTCCTGAGATATTTATTGCCACATATGTTTTAATGTTAAATAATTATATCCTATAAAACTTATTTTAAAGGATTTGAATTTAAGTAATTGAAAAATTTAATTCATTTAAACGTTGGTTAATGTTTTTAATTCAATATTCAATTAAAGTAATATTTTACTCCAATTAAATGTTGGCGCAATGTTTTTATAGCGGTGTTTTTATTCTATTATATGAAAGTAATAATTTAACCTTACTTTAGCATTTTATACACTTAGTAAATCTCTTTATTTACATTTGCCAGCCATCTTAAAAAAACAACGTTTTCAACAAAAAATTAATCCATTATTTTTAACGATATTTAATTTTTATAGTTTTATTTTTTTAAAGTTTCGAATACTTTACTATGCGTGAAATACGTAAAAACAGCATTTTTCAAGATGGTTGACGACTGTAAAAACCAATGTAAATCGCCAAAAATCCGTGCAACCGTCTACCAAAGTAGTACCGGATGATTGAATAAGAAACACAAAAAATGAGCAATGGCCTAGCCGGGACTTGAACCTGGACTTCTCAAATACGATGAGTGTTCTACCGTTACACCACGAAGATATGCAGAGAGGAGGGAGAAATTACCTTATATACTCCCCCTTTTAAAAGGCGACTGTCGATTAAGGGACCCAATCACCAAGTCCTGGTGGTGAATAATCATCATCCACTACCTTTTAATTCGGGCGCCACTGTACAGACATCAGGATTTTTGAAGAAAGAAACACGAAAAATGAGCAATGGTCTTCGCCGGGACTCGAACCTGGACCTTTCGAATTCACCGAGTGTGCTACCGATACACCACAAATGCATGCAAAAAGGAGGAAGAAAATACCTTATAATACTTCACCATACGATTTATATATTGTTGCGTGCGTACGGGTTCGTTACGAAATGAATGCACAAGTCCGATGAAAAATGAACAAAAATTTATTATTATCACAACAAACATGATTAAATGCCCTCAAATAATCGTGCAATATCACAATATATCACAGTAGTTATCTTCTAACTACTCAAACGTTCAAAAGAACTTAATTCAAAACAACTAGAGAAAGCTAATCCGCGAATTCGCTACAGTCAACAAGAGCAGTTTTCTAAACAACAACAAACTAAGTAACTACCACGAACTGAGAGGTTTTCCTCCTTTTATAAGATTTTAAAATCGCGCGCGAGAATTTTCTAGTACTTTCTCGAAATCAAAAAGAGATATTTATTAAATGTTACATGCACGCGCTCTTGTATTTTCAATTTTCCGGCTTAGCTTTCTTTTAATATTCGTCACGCGCTGCACTGCGCGGGAAATAAAACCATTTAATTTACAATTCAACTAACATAAGCTATTTAAATACCAAATCCGTAACAATATTTTCTAATCTACCTGCATCTCTTAATATTTAATTTATCATATTTAAAAGAATATTAAAATTTTCTGTGTGAGGAAAATCATGCGTGGGTCGCAGTATATGCTAAAAATAAAATTATAAATGATTAAAGCTGTATTAAAATCGACAAACACAAAACTCTAAAAAAATATAGAAATTCGAATAACAGAAATAAAAAATTAAAATTAAGCTCACATTTAGAATGTTATGTAACGATTAAAGTTTTTCAAGGATTTTTGCATTCGTAAAAAACGTTCATAGAACTTATATGTGAATCAATCGTCATCTTCAGTATAAGCCATAAAGCATTTCATGTAATGCTAACTTTCCTGTAGCTGTTGAATATATGCAGAGAAACCAACGCATGAGGTTGCACATTCAAACGATGCATTTTCCAAGAAACTACCTCAGACATTACTGATAAATACGGAACTATTTGACGTGGAAGGAATACAAAATATAGAAAATTCGTAAATCTTTCACTACCCAGGGCTTACACTGAGAGTTTTCTGGTTGAGAATTTTAATTAACACTTCCGAGAAAACTATTTATCAGAGGCGAGGCAATAGCACAAATAATTAATACGTAAACTAAATATTATTCAATAAATTTTTTAATCGAAATTCACATTTGCAAGCTAATAAAGGGTGGACCACATGATTACTATTAATGGAAACATGATTACTACTATTTAACCACAGTGTATTAATGCAGTTAATTGTATATATACACTTAAACAAATAAGAATGCGTTAAAAAAAGATAGTTTGCTATCAAAGTTTTTTGTCCATACTAAAAAGCATCATATAGAGACTTAACGTAACTTCGAGAAATAACTTTTCTAAATTTCCAGCGAATCAACGTAATTCAGATTTCCAGTTTAGATCTCCGTATAGGATTATTTGCTGCAAATTCTTACGATAGATAACATAAGAATTATTTAATTATTCAAGTAATCTTAAAATTGTACATAAAGCAAAAAATAATGAAAAACAGCTTTGAAATTGCGGAGATATTAGACACTTGAGGAAGATTTTGAAATTAGCCAAATCTTAGAAAAATCGTCTACGTGAAATCAATCGAAGCAACAGAAATTCGCTTTATGATTCGATATGAAATATTTGCTGTGCGGCCTATTTAAGCCTAACAGAACATATGTATGTGACATAAAATTACATACTCAAGCAGAAAACTGTTTAAGCATATAAAGATTAACTCAAATAACGATTTACATTTCAAGTGGATAAAATTCATCTTTGAGCAGCGGTGATGGTTCTGCATCTCATCAATTTCTAAAATAATTCTAATTATAGTTTTAAAATATTCTAATTTCAGATTTGAAATAATTTTTAGAAGTTTTTCGATAAATGTCTTCCAACGAAATTTTGTTATTCATTAGAAATGTCAATGGTGGAAATATTTAAGGATATAATTAATTATTATATTGTTACGAATTTGGTATTTAAAAAGCTAATGTTAGTTCAATTATAAATTAAATGGTTTTATTTCTCGCGCAGTGCAGCGCGTGACGAATATTAAAAGAAAGCTAAGCCGGAAAAATTAAAAGTACAAGAGCGCGTGCGTTAAATAAATAAATATCTCTTTTTGATTTCGAGAAAGTACTGGGAAATTCTAGCGCGTGATTTAAAATCTTATAAAAGGAGGAAAACATCTCAGTTTGTAGTTGTTGCTTAGTTTGTTGTTGTTTAGAAAACTACTGTTGTTGATTGTAGCGAATTCGCGGATTAGCG